GATACTTCCAAATTCAGGATCAGCTTTCAGTTCAGCAATAATTGTGTATCTCTACCTAAAATCTAAAATTTTTGAAGTCAACACAGCGCATTTAAGTTCATTGCCTTCATCGTCCAGTTTTATTACGAGAAAGTGCGTCAGCTACATTGTTTTCCTTACCCGGTTTATATTTTATTATAGATTATATTCTTGGAGTTTTAAAGCCCATCTTATTAACCTGGGCGTTAGGTTTTTCCCCGAGTAAAGTCTACCAACAGCCGCATGATCCGAAAAGACTGTTACTGGCGCTTTGCCGAAATAAACTCGAAATTTGTGTACAGCCATTAATACGGCTAATGTTTCTCTCTCTCTGTAGCTGTATAATTCCTTTGCGTATGATTCAACGTTTTACTAAAAAATGCCAAAGGATGGCTATTTTGCATAAGAACCGCACCCACAGCATAGTCCGACGCATCTGCTGCAATTTCCAGGTTTTCGTCCCCCTCCGGGAATTTCAAAACAGGGGCATTGATAAGCGCTTCTTTTAACCTTTCGAAAGCGGTATTTGCTTCCGCTGTCCACGTGAATTTACTTTTCTTTCTTTTAATTACTAACAAGGGTTCAACAATATTAGCAAAAGCTTTTATGAATGACCTGATAGTAAGAACATAACCCAAGGAAAGAAGAAAGTTTCTTGGCGGTGTTGGGAGGTGGGAAATCCTTGATTGCTTTTATTTTTGAATCTTGAGTTTCTATACCCTTTTGCGAAATTTTATAACCCAGATATTTAAGTTCTTTAGTTGCGAACTTGCATTTTGAGACGTTAATTGTAAGACCGGCCTCTTTTAATAATTTGAAAACTTCTTCTTCTAGATCTTTAATTTGTTGTTCCAACGTACTACTCGTTATAATTTTATCATCTAGATAGATTAAAGTCGATTTTCCTAGGACAGGCTTTAGAACAATGTCCATAGCTCTCTGGAATGTTGATGGGGCCCCACACAACCCAAAGGGCATGCGTAAAAATGCATAAGTGCCCGATTTTGTTATAAACGCGGTTTTATGTATGTCTTCGGGTCTCATAGCTATTTGATAGTAGCCAGACGTTAAGTCCAAAGTAGTCATGTATCTAGTAGATTTAATCTTTCTAATAATTTCCTCTATAACCGGCAAAGGGTAAACTGGGAATTTAGTAATACTATTAAGTTTTCTGTAATCGATAGCAAACCTCCAAGCCCTTTTATCCGAAGGAAGGGAAACTCGTTCTTTTTTCCTACATAGTACGACTGGACTCGCGTACTCACTATTTATGGGCGTTATTATTTTGTTCTTTAACATTTCCTGAATATGTTCTTCTATAATTTGGTCTTTCTGTTTATCATAGCGGATAAGGTTTAGTCCTACAGGGTTTGTCGGCAGTTAACTGTATCTCATGCGTTAACTATTTGACAGCTACCAGGCCGTTCTGAAAACAAGTTTGAAAAAGTACTCACCACTTGCTGGATGGCTTGGACTTTCATGGTCATTCAAATGGCTAAGGTCAACTTGCGGTTGTTCTTCCACTGGTTCCACCACCCTGCGGTCCATCTCCAGCACAATAGAACTGTCTTGAAAATTCAGTTTGGCCCTCGCGGCCCTTATAAACTCCATACCTAAAATAAGTGGATTTTGCAGATTTTTTACTTCAAAAATTTATACTTTGAGGCTTTCATCTTTCACCTGTATGTTTAATGATAATTTCCCGATGCATTGACAGGTTTTTCCTTGCGCCGCTATAATTTCTGTGTTTTTTTTTTTTTTTTTTTTTTTTTTTTTTTGAATAATCGTAAACTATTAAAATTCTTCTTGAAAAATGTATGAACCTTCTGCTCCTGTATCGATGAGGGCTTCTACTGGTACATCGCCAACCAGGACTTTCTTTCAACTTCTGCCTTCAGGGTACGCGGACGTTTGTTTTCAAATTTCCTTTTTGGGCCTTGACCTTCGAGGTTCGATGAGTTAGCTTGATAGCTCTTTCCCCCATAAGAGTGGTTTGCATTTCTGGTCTGCTCATTTGAAGATTGCCTTCGGATACTTTGAGAATATGATGCCCCTCTAGCTTTTTCCGCTATTCTGCGATTTTGAAACTTGACAGCCAATTCGAAGAGCTCCTGAAATGTGCTTGGGTTTCTAATTTCGAAGTAGTCTTGAACAGCAGGTAACAATCTTGGTAAGATTATTTCAATAATCTCCGCGTCGGGTTTCTTCCCATACAGCATATCCGTCAGCTTAATTTTTCGCAGAATAAAGTCCGTTAACTCTTCTATATCCTGTTGATAGAAACTATATAGTTCGGCTTCTAGCCTTGCTCGATCTTTCACCATGGGAAAGGCCTTTAATAACGACTTTTTGAAATTTTCAAATGCATATGTCTGGCCTCCGAATTCCCCTAATAAAAATTTGCCTATATTCTTCCACGATAGCGCGGCCTGTCCTCTTAGTACAGATGTGGCGATGGCAACTTTTTGTCTTTCAGGCACAGGGTAGAGCTAGAAGTGATTGTGAAGGCCTTCTAGAAATATCGCCACCGAATTTTTTCCGTCGAAATTGACGTTTGGTTTAATTGACGCTCTCATCGTCTGGACCAGGTATCCAAATCCTTCCAATTGGCTTGCCATTTCTTGTTGTTGTCCCGCAGCTTCCATCCAATTTTCGGCCATTTCAGTTCGAGAAGTGTTCGGGCGCCAATGTAAAGTTGCGCGCTTCCAACCTGCACGCAACAAGGTGGTGACTGCTGAGAACTGGAAATAGACCAAAGTCTTGAGAAGGGTTTAAATCCCTTTTTATTCAACTTTAGAAATTATAAATGCGTGCTCTTGACGCTCACAAACTACGCCGACCCGGCGGTAAAATAAAAATAAGAAACTAAGAAAAGAATAGCAACAAGTGACTAACTATGAGGCTCTCTAAACGTAACTAACCTCACCGCTTTCTAAAATACCGCTGATACTTTAGCAAACTTCTGAATATTACGTTGATAGATTAACAATTTGCCGAGGCAAGCACACAGGCCGAAACGCGTGGTTCTTCAATTTCTAACTAGCCACCTCCACACTTGTGAAGCAAGAAAGAACCCTTTCGAACTCGTTTCCCTTCTATTTAACTCAGAATACTTCCGCTGATAATTTGAATCCTTGCGCGTTCTACTAAAATTTACATACTCTGGCATTGGCAATTCCAGGAGAAAGTAAGGCTTGACAGGAAAGATAGTTTAAACTTAAAATAAATGTTAGTTAAAATAAATATAAACCCTACACACTAAAGCGTTTTAAGACTTTTTTTCTTCCTCTTTGATTATAATAAATAGATCTCTCTATTGCAGTCAGTTAAATACACCGAGATTCATCTATTGTGACATTTTTCTAATTTTATCCAGCTAAAAGTTCCTCATAAAGAATTATATAGCGCATTCGGCGATATGTTGTGGAGAAATACGATTCAGATTGTTTTTCACCTTTTGAAGTTTCGATTCAGCATTAATAACTTTTTCTACAGTTGACACTGAGCATTTTAATGATTTTGTAACTGTCCTTTGACTTGGCGGATTTTCTTTTAACATCTAAGATCTTACCATTGCAACATTCGAAACATTTCTTATTTTCTTTGGATATATGTATTTGGAACAAGTTTATCTCTTGAAAGCTAAGCTTTGACGGCTTTTTCCCTTTCGTGTGGACAATATTACCTATCGTAGCTTTAGATATCGAAAAACCATGGCTTTCACAGTGTTTTTAACAACTACATACGAATAATTTTCTTCGGAAAGGGCACAAACGTAGCCTTCCATCCATTGCTTCTTTAAAAGCACCATTTTGCATAAAAACAAAGCTGTTATGTAGCAGATAATAATTTACATTTTCCAAAATATAGTTGCAGTTAACAAATTCCACGCAGATGAAGTGCAATGTACAGTATTGCCTTTAAATGTCATTAAGCGGCCCTTATTTTCACAACTGTTGATCCTAAACGTATATTTGCATTAAGAAAAATGGTTTAACTGAAGGAAATACCCATGTTTTGGTACTTTTGAAAGTAAAAAAAAATTGATTTCATAAAAATTAGTAATCTTAATTTTTATATGGCCCTGCGATTCCTGAAGTTTGTAGTAAAAATTCATACTCATTTCTAAAAAGGCAAAACAAAATGTTTGACATCTACAACCAAAATTTAATATTATTTAAGAGTAATGGTCAGTTTTGGAAAGATTTTTAACTTCAAAGTTTTCCATTTATGCAGATTTTTCGAGTACCCAAAATAAAATTTTCTGAGCTTTCCCTGAGAGAAACGAATAAAATAATTAAGAACAATTCAAGATTTATTGTTTTTCCTTTTAATATCATTCTCTAGTGATTCTTTGGAATTAACTAGTATATAATTTTTTAATTTATAATTTTGTTTCATATGGTATGCCAAAATCATTTTCATATACGTAATTTATGTTTTCAAATACTAAAAGCACATAAATTGCATACAGTTTCATTACTTTTGGATCGTAATCTAACAATTAAACAAAGAAACTCTTTTGGTTAAAATATTTTTCATTTTGAATTTATTCAAATGATGTTAGCTACATGCGAATACTTCAAGTCTGCTATTATTTTCTAGAACATGAATTCTATAATAAATCTGTGAATGAGAACACTTTTTATGGAAAAATTGATTTATTGATCAAAATTTTCCTCGACAGTTGGCATATAAGTTTTTGACACTTAATCTATTAACACCTGAAACATTTCCCTAAAGCATTATTGCAATTTTTAGCTACATATATATGTATGAAAATGAATGTAAATTACAATCAGGTATGAAAGTAAAGTTTTTATGTCTGTACTTTTACAATTTTTCGGGAGGAATGTTTTAATTATCACTGTAGTAGAGAAAGAGTTTTATGTTTAATTATATATAGATATGATTGATGTGTGTAATTATAAGGCTTAATGCATGTGGTATCTAGAGACAAATGAATAAAAAAGAAATACAAGTTAAATTCTCCAAAAATTCTTTTATTCTCAATATCTGTTATACTTATAAGTATATCATTCACATTTAAGTATTGCATCAAAAACATTTACAAATTTTGGAATATTTTCTTCATTTGATAAATCATCACAGCCATACGTTCTGTAAATGAAAATCTTGCCACTGCATACCTAAAATAAGAATTCGACAGTTTAGTTCATATGACTTATAAACTACAATTAACCCATTTATAGTATAGTCGATAATAGTGAATTAATGGCATTTAAGAAATAATTTAATATCCCGTAACTTTTGCCTTAGAAAAAACGTTAAATTATTTTCTATTAAGAGTTAATTTCTAAATCGACTTGCATGTCGTTTCCAGATTCTAAATAGTTGATAGATCCTTCCTTTTTTGCCGATGGTCTTTTACCAAAGGAAAAAATATTATCTAGGCTTTTCCATTTTCTCAAAGAAAAGTACATCTGCATATTGTTTGAGATAACACAGACTTTTCTTCGTGCTATTGTATAACTGTCCATTTTTCTTCAAACATGTTCACTTTGAATGCTTGTTTACTTTGCTGTCTTTCCTCTATAAGCACTCTTTGAAAGCTTTAATATGTGAAGATCTGTAACAAACTCGATAATATTTATTGAAAATTTTTATATCCTAATAATAGATTTCTCCCTCCCTAAATGTTTGAATTTTTAAGCTTCTAGTCAAAACAAGTACTCTTGTGGGATGAGTCCGTGAGTCTTCCACCACTCTTTCCCTTTCACCCAACCATTCAAGAGGACCTTGGACCTTCAGCTAACCGTGTACTCTGAATGACCGCATGCTGCGCAAACACAACACATTCGGAAATGTCCGTGCCTTTTCCGGTAATCGAGCACTGACCTCTCATTACTGTAGTCAGAGTCACTGACCTCTCATTACTGTAGTCAGAGTCACTGACCACTACACCAGCTGGTGGACAAACAGTTTAGAAATACTATTTATACATAAAATAAAAGTGTATTCATGATAGCTGTATGGTGTATCATAAAGAAATATCAGAATGTTTAATTTAGAGGTGAACTGTAGAAAGAATGTGGATAATTATCATACACAAATGTAATATATACGAGGGCATTTCGAAAAGTAAAGATACAATGGCTCGTATTTCTTAAAAAACATTTATTTAGAAAACGTCAGTTACATCTTATTAACTGGATTATTTATTATTTTTCGACATAATCACCCCCCGCCCCGTTATCCAAATATTTGTTAAGTCGGTGCACAAGCTTTTGTATCCCACAGTCATAGAAGGTTGCCACCTGTTGGAACCCAGCGCGCACACAATTTCCTGTACCGTAACTTGACAGTCACAACTTCATAAAGAGTTGTCATTGACACTTCCGGTATGATCTGATGCAATTCTTTCAATTTGAGACGTCTGTTCGCACGAATTGCTTCCTCTGTTCTCTGAAGAAGGGCATCAGAAATCACAGATGGCCGACCTGTTCTTTGTTCGTCATGAACATCGGTTATACCTTCAGAGAAATGACGACACCATTTCGTTACATTTTGTCAATTCATAATGTTCCCATAAACAGAAACAATTTCTTTGTGAATATCAGCTGGTCGCCGACCTTTTGCATGAAGAAAACGTATGACGGAGCGCACTTCGCATTTTGCGGGATTCTGAATCGGCGCAGCCATTTAAACACGACTTACTCCAACCAGAATCAATGTTGAAATGCAGAACGACAGCGAGGAGAAAGCTAACGGTTCAAGGTTAACACCTGTGTTGCCAACTTGCTCACCAAAACTTTTCTTTTCCTCTGGCGTATGATGTATCTTTACTTTCCGAAATGCCCTCGTATATATTTTTTTTCAATTTCAAAGACAAAGCTCAATGTTTAATTTACAATTAAGATACAATAACATGACGAAACACAATAACACGCTGATGCGAATGTAAATACAAGCTAATTTCTCTCAAGATCTCCACGATAATTCATGTCTTCCCTTAAGCAGATAATCCATGTGTGCTTTACCATAATAATCCCAATAACTCAAGTCTTGCACTCTCCCCTCCCCCCCAAAAAGAAAATCGTTATTATCGTTATTATTCTTTTTTTTTTTTTTTTTTTTTTTTTTTTTTTTTACTTTCACGCCTTTTATAATTAATGTACATCTAATCATAGCCTTGTGTTGACAGCATGCTTTGGATTTGTCATCCATAGAATTCGGTCGCTAGAATATAGCTGAAGTATAACTGCTTTAATACTTATTTTTAATTATTATTAAAGGTTATGTATGGGTATTTAAATATTACTCGTTTACAACGTAATTTGTATAAAATGGGAGTAATTGCGTTTATTAAAGTTTTTTCAAAATGAGACTTCTCATTCAACTTTTGCGACATTTGATTAACTGCCGGTAAACACTAATTTTTTAAATAAATTATATTTAATTGCTAATTAAAAAGTTTCTAATTTTCCAAAAAATTAATAAATTATACTGCTTGCTAACGAAACGTTTCTACTTTTCAAAGCGGTCTCAATAATTATAAATAAAAGCATTAATTTTTATGTGTTTCATATTTTTTAATTACTATTTTAAAAATTTGGGAAGTAAATTATTATTCTGAAATTTAATATCTATAAGGGTTGCCCAAATGAAAAGTGGACACGTGCGATAACGTCAGAATGAATGCATCGATAGCAGAGCCAATGCGCAAGGGCGGCATGATGTATGCATCTCAGAAGGCGTTTAACCGTGAAACCTGTTTGTAGGAGATCAAATTGTGCGAAAGGAAAGTCGTGCTATCCACGGATGCGTCCAGATCAGAACAACGCGCGGTAGTACGGTTTCTGGTTGCGGAAGGTGAGCGTAATGCAGACATCTATCGAAGAATGGTAACAGCGTATGGCGACCACCGTTTAGGTCGTACGGCTGTAAACAAATGGTGTAAAAGTTTCCGTGAAGGGCGGCAAATGACATCGGATCTGCCGAGATCGAGCCAAGCAAACAAAGAGATCACCAATGATTCCATTGCCTCCGTTAATGAAATGATCCAAGCTAATGGAAGGGTTACGACCCGTGAAATTAGTCACGAACTCAACCTGAGTAAAGAACCGGTTATCCACAAACATCTGGGGTACAGCAAAGTGTGTGTTGCATGGGTACCAAAACACCTGACCCTTGATCATCAGAAACGACAAATGGGCTTCTGTCTCCAGCACTTGATCTGTTATGAGGAGAATCATCCATTTCTGAATCATATCGTTGCGGGCAGCGAGACCTGGTGCCATCACTATATACCCGAATCCAAGAAAACGAGTATGCAATGGAAACACAGCTCATCTCCTCCGTAATAGAAATCGAAAGCAATGATAACTGCACGGAAAGTGATGCTTTCATTTTCCACTTTTAATTGAGTTCCTGCCCCAAAGGAAGCACTGTAAATTCCGCACAATATTGCAATACTCTGAAGAAACTGCGACAAGCAATACAAAAACAAACAGCCTGGCCTTCTCACACAAGGAGTGATCCTTTTGCATGACAATGTCCGCCCACACATCTCCCAGGAAACCCTGAGGACCTTAAACACATTTCGTTGGGAGGTTTTGGAGAACCCGACCTACAGTCCGGACATGTCACCCTATGACTTTCACATCTTTGGACCACTTAAGAGAGCCTTACAGGGGAAAAGTTTCCATTCGGAAAACGACGAATTCCAAAACGACGAATGGGCTACTGTCTCCAGCACTTGATCCGTTATGAGGAGAATCCCGCATTTGCTTTCATTTTTCTTCGATTGTCGTGTACCACCTTTTAATCGAGTTCCTGCCCCATGGGAGCTCTACCGATTCCGCACAATATTGCAGTACTCTGACGAAACTGCGACAAGCAATAAAAAACAAACGGCCAAGTCTTCTTACACAAGGAGTGATCCTTCTGCATGACAATGCCCGCCCACACATCTCCTAGGAAATCCAGAGGACCTTAAACATATTCCGTTGGGAGGTTTTGGAGCACCCTACGTACAGTCAGGACATGTCACTCTGTGACTTTCACATCTTTCGACCACTTAAGAGAGCCTTACAGGGCAAAAGTTTCCATTCGGACGATGAAGTGAAGGAAGCCGTGCAGGACTTCCTCAGGAATCAACCCCAATCTTTCTATATCAAAGGCCCCGAGCTGCTGCCGCAACGCCTGTGTTGAACCTGTGTTTCAACGACCATGGCAGTTTCTTTTGATTTACAATAAAGGTATTATTTTTCTTCAACTTGTCCACTTTTCATTTGGGGAACCCTTATATTTACCTTTTCTGGAAGGTCAGTGTGCCGAACGAATAAGACCTTTGAACATTTATTATTTCAGGTGGATTCCAAACGAGCTCGTTACCTGGGCGTTTTAGTCATTTTAACCAAGTATAATATGAATGTGAGCCCATTTCTCTTAAAATGGTCCTCCAAGAAGGGTTCTTCCCTTTTAGGCAGATAGTCTCATGTACTTTATTTAATCGATTAAGCAACAGCAAATTCAACCAGTCATTATTATTTCTTAATTATGACTCTTAAAAGGAAGCTCCGATTCTTTTAATTTGATTAGAAATAAAATATTCAAAAAATATTGTATATTTAGAGTAAATAATTCAAATAAGACAAAAAAATTAATGTCATAATTAAGTATTTAGAAAAACTGAAAGATAAATACCTCGGAAAAGACAGCTTTTACTTCTTTAATATCATTGGACAGTATGCGATTAGAATCTTCAATTAAATGAAGATCTTGCTTCAGTTTCTGTTGAGGAACGTAAGATTGGTTGAGTTTTGTTTTTGCTACATGAGCTTCAATCACATCTGCCAAATCGCTTGCGTTTACGGGATGAGTAGAAATTGTTGTTAGATGGCTACAAACGATTTTGACGCGCTGATCAAAATGTTCTGCATTTTCTAAATCTTCTCTAAGCTGAAAAAAAGGGGGGAAAGTAAATGAAAAAATATGCTATTTCAAAATTTCAGTTTAAATCTTCAAATAATTAATTAAAATTTCAAATAAACTAAAGAAATATTTAAAAATTAAAAAAATTTAAATGTCATAAAATTAAGAAGGAAATACAATCTCATTTTGCTATGCAGACGTAATTTTAACTCCTGAAGTAATTTCAGGCTGTTCAATTAAGATATGTAGTACGTGGAGATTTAGCCCTCGAGAAATTAAAGAGATAGAACAAAATCTTATATTTAAAATGAAAAATACAAAATGCTAAGACAAATTGGTAGAAAAAATTGTTATGATTTTATGTCATCATATATTATTGCCAAGCGGAGACTTGTGTTCGTATTAAATAAAGGAAAGCCTTAATTATTATGATTTAAATGTTAAGTAAGATGTAAATGTGCATTTATTTCATCGGATCTCGTGCGTGTGAGGCTTGCAGAAAATATTTTTTCATGTAACAGTATTTTGTGACGACACAAAATGAAGGAACTGAAAGCAAAAAGTACCTGAAAAGATAAAAAGTTAATGTAATTTTGTGTTTCTATCTGAAATGATAAATTTTAATATGTTTGTATGATGAAACAACAGTGTACTGTTAGCTTACTTACTACAGTTCAGTAGGGAGAAGGGGCTCCATGACCTCGCTTATTAACCCTACATGGTAAAATGCGCCAACCCTTAGAGGCAATCAAAGGACCAACTCCCCCTGTCAATCCAGGGGGAATTATATGATATACATACACTCTGGGAATAAGTTTCGCAAGCCAGTTGGACGGTAAGCATCCACCAACAAAGTAAAGAATAAATCACATTGTAGTCCGTTCCCAAGCGTTGACCCAGGGGAGCCAAATTTCCAAGGATAATCTTTGATATCAAACCATATAACGTCTCCAAAACCATGAGGCAGACAGTATAGTACCAGAATGGTCACAGCCGAGCTTGAAATTACCACCGAATAAACGATGGATTTACTCTCTGTGAAGATCTACTCTATAAGTCGAGTTTGTTTAGGTACAAGTCCTAGCCAGAACGTCAGGGGTTGCCCCACATTCGACCTCCGGGGGATCTTATTTACTATAGAAAATTGTTTCATAATTCGCAACAGATTATATTTCCTATATATTCTTTGTGAAGAAATATTTTAATATTTAGAACTAAGTCTGAATAAATGAATATTTTGAGTTTTTCCATTCGGCACTGAGTTATGCACGCTGTTTCAAAACAAGCTAGTTTCACTATTGCTGCTATGTTATTCAGTCCATTAGGTGGAGCAGGAGACATGAAAAATGTGCAGTGCCTCTCTGTGATTTGAACTTAGGACCGTCTGATGGTAGCCGGACGTGCTTTCCATTTACATCATGAAGGCAGCAAATTGTAAGCAAGGAGAAAATACTTACATTGTTTTACAAGTAGAAATTTATGTTGATGTATCGGAAATGAGTTTTTATGCTGTGTCTTTTATACTATGGATACTTACTCTCAGAAATAACTGTTACTAATAATATAGTATAATTGGAAGCCCACTCGATGCTTCGAAAGGTCTAGGATTCGGGTTCCGGAGAGGGCATTGCATATTTTTCACCTCTTCTGCTTAAAAAAAAGGAATGCTCTACAGGTGGAGCTTGAGTTAAAAGGTGGTGGCCAAATCGTCACCATCAGAATTTGGCGATTGTGTCCCCTAATCCTCAGTTGTCCTTTAAAAGGTAAAGTATATAGGAGGTATTAGCTCCCTCCTTTCCGCGTGCCTTCGTGGTGTAATTGGAAACATACTCGAAGCGTATTAAAAAAGTCTTGTGTTCGAGTCCCGGGGAGGGGATTGCACATTTTTCACCTCTCCTGCTTCCAAAAAACCTAATGACTGTACAATATAATGAGGCGATGAAGCTTGTAGAAACTAAAGAACCTGAAATTAATTTATGCTCTTTCTCAATAGTTCATTCACAATCGTGATTCACAATGTAACTTGTTGAATTGCTTACAATTTCAATCTCTGCGTTGAGATGTCTCTAGAAAAATCAGGATACATTTACAATTTTAATAGGATTACTATGTGTATATTTCAATGGATTCAGCATTTATTTAATCTGTTTCGTGTCTACATAAATCGGTGGTTAGATTTATGATCGTTAATAATTTTCGCTATGAATATGAGCGATAAAATATCGCAATTTTCATATTTTAATACAGGAATAATTTTAATAAAATGTAACTTACTTTAAGTATTCCGGCAGGAGAAATTTGCTCTACGAATTTACATAAAATGTCAACTTCTGAAATTCCTTTTTGGTCTTCGTTGCTAAGATTATTTCGGAGATCTGATGAACCATCCAGGAGAGTCAGATTCGTTACGTCTACACCTGCCTTTTCACTCTGAAGTGCCATTTCAAATGCTATGCTTCCACCTGTTGAAAATCCCACCAGGTGAAGAGGCTCATTTCTTACTTCTGTGATTTTCTGAAAATAAATGCAATACGTTTTGTATTTATACCTGTAGTGATTTGTGTTCTAAACTCTATGACGACCTTGAAATTGTATTACCACGTAATAAACTTAGCTTTAAATTTAAAAATTCGTTATTGGTATAATCAGAGTTTTGTTAAGAAGAAATTAAACTTAACGCATACTAAAATAATTTTTCACGTGATTAAAACTAAAATTAAGATGTCCTGATAGTGCTGTTGTTTGATATCATTAGATTTTCATTAAATTACAGATGTAACCAACTGCAGTAGCTGCTGTGAAACTTGAGATTTGAAGAACCTTTTCACACAATGTACATTTTGCCGGTCCCTTATTCGGCCCATCAGTGGCCAAGCGGCTAAAGACCTCTGAATACTGATAGCTCGACTTGGATGAAACTCAGGTGAATGGGTTGGTTGCATGGCTAGTTTTCATATTTTTGACGTCAAGTTTCCTTAGAAAATGCTCCATAAGGGCATCCTTCCCCTTATCATTCACAGTCCTTGTGTTTTTTTACCATATTCAAGTAACCTAAGCTATTTCCTTATTCATTAACCTGCACGGTATTTTTAGTTTATTTTTCATTATTAAATTAAATAAAAATAGTTTAAATAATCACTCGAAGATCCTACTATTAAATCACGGACTCCAGGAGTTCTAAGGATCATAGTTAAAAAAATGTAATACTACTGTTTACTTTCTCTTTGATAAAATAAATCTTAATATATTACTCATAATAAATTATTTTGACAAGAGAACAGAATGTAATAAAAGAATGTATTTTGAGTGCCTTCTTGCTACATAGACACTATACGCTTACGAACATTCATGTCTTTCCCGAGATTCGAACTCGGGCCCGTTGATATGGCAGTCAGCGTTACTAATCACTATACCGTCACTAATCGCTATCACGTAATGGATAATAACAATTTCTTTTTATAGGAAAATCTAGAAATTTTGAAAGAAGGTTACGTGTTCCTAATTTTAAAATTAAAGAAACTTAAACTGATGTAGATTTTGAAGAAATTTTGATTGATTTCATAGAAATCAAACATAGGTCCCTCTTCAGGAACTACCTAGAAAGACCTATGTTTGATCGATGTCGACTTAGGTTCTTGAATGTTTTATTGAAAAAGTAAAATAAAAGAGCATTTTTGAATTATATTTGCTTGCAAATTTAACTTTAGATTTAGAGTAAACTCTTGCCGAACGCGAGAGTTACATCAGACTCTGAGTGGAGCTAGACAGAAATGGATCTCCTTGGGGCATGATTACAGACATCGATGCTAATGTAATTGTTATAAGAACTGAAGCAGCATGACAAATAGAGAGAAACCAGCTCCATTCTATATGTGACTGTATCTTTGATTCATCCGAATATGAAAGAAGTTGTCAATGCATGGAAAAATGAATGATCAATCAAATGCACATCCTGTGTATAGAAGCAAATAGTCTACATGGCTGATATACAAGATCCACTCATGCTTGGACTTGATTTTCTTAAAAAATATGGATTTTGTTTAAATGTCAAAAATTATATACTGAACACACATCTAATATGATGTTTGGACTGAATGAGATTCATTTATTAAACAGTGATATAACGACAAATAAAAATTAAGGACAGTGCAGAAAGCTGTTCAAATCAACTCCACATATTATCAGAAGCATATTTTATGTCCAATTTTCAAATACGAAATATCTTCTCTTTACGCACAGTGCCAACAATCAGTAAAACTACATTAAGACAAAGCAAGACTGTTGCCATTGGGTGCACGTCTAAATCGACTGTTAATTTCCTGGAAAAAAAATGGAATAAGAAACATGTATCAAGGCCATATCCTACACTCATATCTCTACTAAATGTCCTGATGTCTCAGATCCCTACCAAATTTCCTGATGTATCATCCAGGGAATTTTTGGACTTTTAAAAAAACCCTGGGTTTTAAAAAGCGCATTGTCCAGACGTCGAATTACAACTCTCCTTGGACTTTGGAAAATTGTTCAAGAGGGATGAGATAAAATACCTCTACTAAAAAAGCTTTATTATCTTGCAGATTACGGTGTAGAAAGATGGTGAAGAATAAGGGTTATCAAATGGAACATTTAAAACACAAAAATTTTAGGTAAAATATTTCTGTAAATACAATGAAAATCAACTAAAAAGTGTGAGAACAGCTTTAGTAGAGATTGCGGAATAGAATATCTGCTTACTAGAATTTTTCTAAGCGGCTTCCATTGCATAATACAGAAGTTTCATAGCAACGTAGATATGAAAGTAACTTACATTTAAATACCACGTGCAAAGAGCTTCCATGTCCGCAGATGGAATGTCCTTCGTCCAAACCAGGGCAAATGCGGGATTATTAATGCTCTTCCCTAATGCATGTATTTGCTCCAAATCTCCGTTTCCTACTGTGACTATAAAAACTGGCTTTCCTGTACCTGCATGGTTGAGAGGGATAACAGGTTCGGTATGGACAGTGAATGCTGGAAGGTTTACTTGAGCAGTGGTCACTAGAGTTGTCGATTTATTGCCAGAACTTTCCTTCGCCTTTTCTGCATTTTCCAGGAGAAGTTTGACATCATCAAATTTCATCTCTCGAATTTCTTGCATTGTTAGTGTGACATCACAAGCGGATTCTAGCAGGTTTTTTATTTCAATTCCGATCAAAGAATCAATACCCATCTCACCAAAGCTTCGGAAGTTGTTTAATTCTGATAAGTCCTTCATTCCTAAAAAAGCAAAATGGTAATTTAAATAATGCCACTTTTCTAGATTTGCTTAAATAAAGGTAAGTTCCATTTTTTTTTATTTAACTTAAGGAATTATAAAACTGACAATAGTGATAAAACATGTATCTGCTAATCAAATGATTAAAAGATAAATAATTTTAAATACTACTCAAATAATTCACACTAAACATCAATAAATTTAGCAAATGCGGCATAACTAATTTTTCTTGACGACGCAAAAATAATCAGAAAATACTGATGTTGAATTATAAAATTTTGTATGGAATTTTTTATGTTAACGATTTTTTTTTTTTTCTGATGAAGAGAATCTTTAGAGAATTAAGATTGAATTTTGAGAAACCTTTTTTTTTTTTAAATTTAGTTAATGCAAATAATTCTTAATTGAAAAATGCGTAATAAAATTCCCAAGCAATTAATTTCATAATTACTAAATTGTGAATTAATTATCAGTTGGGATATTTTCCGAGTAATAATTTGAAAAATACGAAAGAATGCATTACATTGAATGCACATTTGACATTTTGCGTTACACTGAATGCACATTTAAATAGCATTACAGAAGTATAGTTTATTTATCGACAGTGTATTGCTTTATAAAAACTAATGCAAAGAAACAAAACAAACACAAACGAGATAAATAAAAAGAAAGAAAATCGTAAAGGATTCCGATTTTAACATCGCACCAGAAGATTTGTTAAGGATTTTTATGCTCTCACTGAGAATCGTATCTTGCCAGTCAAGGAGCTATTCTAACCTCCTTGTTGCCAATTTCCGTTTAGACGCATCGTATGTTGCCAATCTGCGACAATAAGTTCCGCCTTCGCAGTTTCATTTATGCAATGTTTTCCAAGCTCTTACTGATGGCTGTTCAATAAAAATTCAAAAATCAGGACTTAGATGAGTTCTAAAGTTTTAAGGAATATTGAAAAGAGCTGCCTGTTAGGAAATTTCTTTCATATAATAATTATTTTTAAAAAGTACCAATTAACTTGAAATGTCATACTGTATAAACATTTTACTACCATTTGCTATAAGGGTAACCATACCTTAGAATAAAATATTCATAGAAATACTATTCGCAAAATACTTGACAGCCATGGTTCATAATGCTTCATACTTCTAATACTTAAACATGAAATAAATAAAATACTTAAATATGAGATTTATTGAACGGAATCCTCTCTCGTTACATAAACATAGATAGTCTCTAAAAATCATCTCCAGAGCATTTCGAGAATTGTTAAAAATTCTATTACAAGTTCCCAAAACACCGTGATTTCTACTTGATACTTACATATCGCAAAATGAAATATATAAGAAACCAAAGCTAAATATTCTTTTTATTAGACTTCGCTATATTTATCCAGTCATTTAATGTAATGGTAAATAAAAGTTTTGACATTTGTTTTTTCCAATCACTCATATTTTTTCTATCTTAAAAATGTACCTGTCATTTAAAAGACACTGAAGTTATAATTATATGATCAAAGGAGTTCGGATGTTCAGCCAGAATAGCTCTTTCGTTTCAGAAATTTAAAAACAATACAGACATGATCAGACAGTATCGTTACTAGAAGCTTCAGCAGGTTATCCATATTTTCCAGGAAGCCACATAGCAGACGTAAGAAAATATCTGAAAGTGTTAGTGCAGACAGGTCAAGACTGATATCTCTCCATTACCTGGGAAGGCATACTGTCATAAAGTATATTAACAGAAAAAGTGGTAGAAAGTTGGTAGAACAGAAAGAGTGGTAGATATAAATTTTTATATCAATCCTCTTAGAAAGAATGTTTTAAGAAGCTAATTTTTCTCTCGCGTTATAGATTGTATAAAAAAACATGATCTTTAATATGATTTAGATTGTTTCAGCCGATATAAGAATCGGGTTAATCGGTGGTAAAGAATAAACACTGCTGGAGTGTTTTATTTCTTTGTCATTTAGTAAAAAATCTTTTAATAAAAATATTTATCCTTTACTTTGCTCTATACTTTGTTTATAGTTAAAATGTCTAGAAAAGGAAAAGCTGTCTTCAACTGAAACGCAGTTGATGCAATAGATATTTGAAAAAAAAAAAAAAAAAATGACAAGAATGCAAAATTTATGGAAGTCTAGCAATCGAGAAATCTTGATTTTCTTGTGTGAGCACTGAAAATAACTGCAGAAGGAAAGATGAAAATTAGGGAGAAAAGTAAGCAAAAATTTGAAAGGAAATTTGGCTGTCAGACATACCAAGATGTTTAAAAAAGTTGGACGCTTTTGAATATACTTTCAGGATACTTTAAAGAATTTAGGTGTTCAAAGAGAAAACACTTGGACGTGTACACCAGCAAATACCATCAATTCAGCTTGAGGTTAACAGAAAAGACAAAAACGATATCATTGCAGATTAAAGGGAAGAGCGACTGGTTCGACTATATGGTTCGGTTTTAGACTGGTAGTTCGGTCCGAGGTTCGAATCCCGCGAAAGGGCCGGCTGTATAGGCGTTTTTGTGGTTTTCTCCATGTGTAACGTGTATTCGAACCAGTTTCCCAAGTCCTTCCCGAAGGCATCCCTCCTTCGGGGTTTATTTTATTATCTCCTTCCATAGTTTATTTAACTATGGCAAAGCACACTAGGCAGATAGCCCTAGTGTGCTTTGCCATAGTTAAATAAACCAAAACCTCTTGACGAAACCAGACTTTCCTTTCATCTCATACCTTCAAAATGCTAATCTCTAAATACTGATAAAGGCTCTGACTTAAATACTGATGAAATGGATTGAATTGGATTATTAAGTTACGGCAAAACAGAGCTATCTGTATAAAAGAAAGGATGACTTCGTGAAGAACTTTCTAAGAGAAACCAGCTGGCAAACACGATACACGTAAGAAAATTCACGAAAACGCCCCTGCAACCAGCCCGTTTACCGGGATTCGAACCCCGGAGTGAACTACCAGTGTTCAGCGACTTTACCGCTCGGCCGTTTGTGGGTCTTTATGAAATGGAGGGCGATAACTCTATTTAAAATGATTGTCATAAATACCAAGATGTTTCGAAAAGTTGGATACTTTTTAATATACTTGCAGAGTGCCTGAAGAAAAACAGCAAGAATAAAGCAGAATGCCTGAAGAAAAAATAAATTTTTGCGTAAAATTTAGTATTTGTATTTTTTTAATTTAAAACTTTCTTAATCTTATGATATTTGATTCTTGCGATTTCAAGAACAAAATATTTGACTAAAATATAACATTTTAAGAAACCAAATGTAGAATGATAAAATGTGTTAAAGCAATGGGCACACTGATGATAAAACTGTTTAAAAAGCAGTGTATGCAAGTCATCCTAAGTTAAAATGTCGGTTATACACATCTCTTATTTATATATCTTTTCTTGAACGTGAACAGTGAAAGGCGTGTTAAACTGTGCTTTACTGTATTTTCTCTTTTAATATATGCAGTTTTTCAAATGCGTCGTAGTCTGGGTTCACAAAGAATTCTTCCGAAAAAAACGCAATTCAAACAAATAAAATTAACTTCTGGGAAAATTTATGTTTAATAAATATATTTAAAATGCTCAGTTCGAATAAATGAATAGAAAATTTTAAAAGTAATTATCTGAAAGAGTCAATTGCAACTACGGACAATTAAAATAATAGTCTAAAAATTTAAAAATTACCTAAAATAGCAACTATGACTAAAAATATAGTATAAAGAAAACTATTTGAAAAAAATCTGATGTGTACACCATATGACATCCTTGTACGGAATATTAAATTATACGCATTTTTTATTGCATTTCATTTAACTTATTAGATTGAATTAAACCTACTTCGCCGACAGCGCATAAACCACAATAGAATAAATGCATTCTTTAAAATTTACTTTGTTTACCATAGCGACACTCTAGCACTAGGTTTGCTTAACAGTATTATATTTCGTTCATATTATAACTCAGAATGCACAAAATTTATATCATTTAAAGAATTATCTAATCGTTGCCACATGTTCTATTCAAATACTATAACAAGCTAGAACGATGTTTGTATAAAAGAAATTAAGCAAACAAAAACGAAAAGAAAAGAAACAGTTTTTCACAGACGATTGAGTATTTCTCATTCAATTAATTCAGTTCTCACTTCGCGACAAGCCAAAAAAAAAAAATACATAAAAACTCAAAATATCTGTATTAAAAATTACGAAGTAAATCTTAAACACTTATTTGCTCGAAAAAATTCCAGAAAGGATTAAGCATGATTTAATTCGCAGTAATAAATGAAGGCGTTATTTTTGTGTTGCGAAGCTTAGTCTCTCTAGATTGGAAACAAATCTATAATTCTGCTGTTTCAAATGTAAACAAATATGTCCGCCATGTTATTTAAAACTTAACCGCACTTAAACAGCTTTTAAATTGTTGATAATTGTACAAATATTGCTTCCGGAATTACGAAAGGCATAAAAACTTTAACCGGAAGATAAAAACAACATAATTCAATCATTTTTAAAGCAAAAAATATACAATTTACAAACATATAAGAGTAAAGAAACTGAGATCATTGAGCCGGGTAACAGAGTGGATATATTTCTAAATATATTTATATACGTTTGGCGCGGCCGATTGAAACCAAAATACGAGGTGCACATCTACATGTTATAGTAGTCTTATATACAAAATTTCGACGTTCTGAGGCTACTCGTTTTCGAGTTATGCGAGATATGTACATACGTTCGTACAGACGCCACGAAAAATTCTTTTCAGAATTCATTTTAAAGGAGTTTTATAATTTTTTTGGAGGTAAAGAGTCTTTTATTCTGTCCTTACGTATAGATATCACACAAAAACATCGTTAAATTGCATTCGAAAGCGGTCAAAGTGGATATTTTCGTTTAAATATGCTACCTGAAGCTTTTCGCGATTACAAGACTTCCTTTTTACTTTATACAAGGAAGTAAAAATAAATAAAGAATGGATGCACCTTTGATTTAAACTACGCAGTTCAAATGAGTAAATAGAAATTTTTAAAACAATTATTCGAAAGAAACAATGCAACATAAATAATTAAAATGGTGTGGTAGTGTATTTAATTATGGCAAAGCACACTAGGGCTATCTGCCTAAGGGGAGGGATGCCTTCGTGGAGGACTTTCTGAGGGAAACTGGCTCGTATACACGTTACACATGGGGAAAACCACGAAAACACCCATGCAGCCAGCCCGTTCGCGGGATTCGAACCTCGGACCGAACTACCAGTGTTCAGCGACTTTACCGCTCGGCCGCTGGTAGGCTAAACAATTAAAATGAAATTCGAAAAAGAAAAAATACTTAAAATAATAACAATTATAATTAAAAATATAATATGAAGACCATTATCTGAAAAAAGGATCGATCGTAAGTTTTTTCCCCTCACGCACGAGGTAGAAAGGGAAAGGAAAATAGATTGTCATATATTAAGAAGTTCGCCAAGTAAACTATTCTTGGCGCAAACTGAAAAAAAAAGGCGCCAACATAAACTTTTGAATTTCTCCGTAAAATTCGCACCAAATTTTACAAAATTTAGTATCTAGGCATAATTTGAGTCGTAGAATCGAAATATGTAAAAAAAATGGTATGTTATTTTGGAAAAAGTCCGATTTTGTGTCAAAATACCTATGTTAGAATAATGTTATATATAAATCTAATATATAAGTCGCGCTTTCGAGATATGAAGAACGCAATTTGAATTTCGTGAATTTGCCCAGTAGAATGGGAGATATAGAACTGTCCCTTTTTTCTTTTTTTTTTTTCCTCTTTTTTTTTTTTTTTTTTTTTTCTATTTTTTGAGCAGTGTACATTGTACCAACAATAAATCTGGCTACATTCAAATTTTAATTAGTGTTTTCTATCTGCCAGCCCATTCGCGGGATTCAAACCTCGGACCGAACTACCAGTGTTCAGCGACTTTAGCACTCGGCCGCTGGTGGCCTGAAATGTATTGGATGGGAGTGGCATCATGTTCATTGATAAATCAGGACCTTTCTTCGATTCAGATGACCTGAAAATTCGTGTTGGGATAGATCCATTTCGTTTAGCAACAGCTGCATATATTGGTACATGTTCATCAGAATGTCTGGTCATCACCAGTGGTCTTTCAAAGTACTTCTGATTTACTCTGATAAACTGATGACAAATTGTGACCCATTCTTTTCCCACGTTGCCACGGCACAGGATTGCCGTCTGTGCCGGTTAGATTTTTTTCCTTCAGTCGCGTACATGTGAGAATTAATGAGACATGGTTTACAGCCATCTTGTTATGAGGTATGAGAATTGAAAAATCAGTATAAATTATGCAACAAGATAGCACTTATGGTTTGCGGGAATCCGCCACCAGAAGGAATACTTTCATGCCTTTTCCAGTTGTACATTGTACCAACAATAAATCTGGCTACTTTCAAATTTTAATTAGTTTTTTCTATCTGCCTATGTTTTTTCTATTTGACAGTATATAATAGATTTTTTCTATTCTATCGCGATGTTTATGTGCCATTTTACTATGGCTGAAATTTTATGCAGCTGGTGAATATGTTTTATTGCAAAGTGCATATTAAAGAAGTTGTGTAAAAATTCATCGAAAGAAAGCAGAGTCTTTGTACTTATCTACAGTTATAGCAAATGATTAAATCTTTATGTATATAAGCGGCTAAAGTGTGTGTCGCCGATAGTTTATTGTTGCCACTTGGAAAATGAGCTCGGAAATTAACGTTTCCGCAGTTTTAATTAATATCTCAGCCGATTAAAGTGGTACGAAAATTAGAATGGTATCGATGGATTCGGAGAATTTTTTGGAATCCGAGGATACGCGTCTCGAATTTCAACTCGACGCCGTTCCGTATATATTCGAGAAAAAATAATTTGGCACGTAGCCAAATCCCTGTAATAAGGAAAACCCAAGAAAGAAAATGAAACTGTAGGGAAAACGTAGGGGAAAATTAGTTTTTAATTAATATCTCGGTTAATTAAAGTCTCAAGAAAATGCGAATGGTCAAATTGGCGTGCCACGGACCTGCGGAATCTAACGGTGTGCTTCGCTAAGCCCGAGAGCCAGCCGTTTCGGAGTAGATGATGTTAATTCACCCCATACATATATGTGGCTTAAGTGTCTGTTTGTCGCCGATAGTTTATTGGTTGCTTGCGTAACTGTACTAGGGGTGAAGAATGGGGTGAAGTTCCCACGGCACAGGATTGCCGTTTCAATTGAGACGGAGACAATTTCCTGTAAAACTTGCTTTTGCTATGACTATCCATAAGTCCCAGGGCCAAACGCTTAAGCGTGTTGGCATTTTTTAAGCTGAGGCTGAATTTGGACACGATCAACTTTATGTTGGCTTTTCAAGATTTTGTGAAAGAACAGACGTAAAATTAATTTGATGGTCCTCTGCAAGGCGAGCTTAAAAATGATGGAAAGATCTACACAAGAAATCTTGTGTACAAAGAGATCTTCGACATGTGAATTAACATTTCATTATTTAAATCACCTTTATTGATTGAGCTAGCGGTGGGCTCTTAAGAAATGTACCGCCAGTGGTTTCCTTCATTGCACTGTACTTTATTACTACAATTAAGCAAGTAGAAGGGGGAAACCCCGTGGGGCAGTAAGCAAATGGGCGTTCTCGCCGCCTGCCCAACGTAATTCAGTTTAAATTAGCAGACACCTTTGCACAAATCATTTTAATTATAATTTATAATATCTAGAACAGCGGTCATTTCGTATGACTGCCGGGCTTTCTAGTTATAAATAACTGCTTAATGCAAAATAAAAATAACTGACTTTATAACAACATTTAATATTAGCGCGCGGTTTTATGCTAAGTATTTAAGCAGAAGACAAGAGATGAAATTATTATTAATTTTTAGATGTATCTTCGTTTTTTTTTATCTGTAGCTCATATGCCATCTAAAATCGGTTCTTCATCACTACATAGTATAAAACAAAGTCGCTTTGTCTGTCCCTATATCCCTATGTATGCTTAAATCTTTAAAACTACGCAACGGATTTTGATGCGGTTTTTTTTAATAGATAGAGAGGAAGGTTTATATGTATAATAACATCCATTAAATGGTGGAGAAATACTGTTATTTTTGAGGTTTCTAATGTGATGTCGTAAATAATTACATTTTTTTCCACTTACATTGCAAACGCAGGCTGAACCCTACGAGATTTATCAAAATAATGTACTAAGTATTGTACACATTGAAAAGGTCTACAGATTTAAAAATTGGGGAGTAGCGTTAGCGGCGGTACCGGCCGGCCGGGGCGGCGGAGCGTGCCAATAAATAGCGCGTCGGAGGCCGCGGTTCCCTATAGCATTTTGAATTTAGCAGCGATCGGAACGCGTTTCTTATCGGAGTCTCTAGCGAGGAAATAACAATATACTTAATAAAACGTGCTTTTCAGCGCGACAACGTATCAGTAATTATAAGTAAGTTACGATAAATAATTGTATGATAGTAGTTTTAAAATAAAATGATATTCTATTATAAGGTTAATTTTGAATCGCACTTATAGTAATTATAAGTACATAAGGTTAGATAAGATTAGATTAAATAAAACCATAATTTATGGATTAGAATTTTCTATTAAGATCTGGTTAAAATTTAGAGTTAAATCAATTAATATTAGGCAAATTATTTTCAAAAATCGATTAAGGTGAGGTATGTCAGTTCAGAAAAAGAAAAGAATTAATAGAATGAAGGATTTTTAGCTAGCAATTTTATTGGTAGCGTAATTAAAAATAAGGTAAGTGTTAATTTCACAAATTGAATTTTAGGTAAGTTCAACTGCCTTATCATAACAAAGTAGTTGCTTAGCAAAGTAGTCCATTTACAATAGGAAACGATAATCACTTGAGTTCAAACAAAGTCGAAAAAGGTAGCGGAGAAAAAGTCCGGCTACGCTTCTTTGAGAGTTTTTTCCCCCCGCTCTTGACAGAGCTTAGTAGCGACTCGGGACAAGCCATAAAAAAACACAAGAGAGAAAGGGCTCTCTAAAGCTTACTAGCGACTCTGGACAAGCCGTAAAATACAAGAGAAAGGCTCTCTTCTGTACGCAACGACTACGTATTCTTCAGACTAATCTCTCTAATTATTTTCCACTCACTGTTTTTATGTCTAGGTTTTCTTGGCGTGTCTTGTGCGTCTGCTGCAGTGATTCGCTAAACGTCTTCTTCGGAGCATCTCTCCATTGGTTAACAGGCGCTGATTGTTCTCAGATACTGTCTTGACAGCCTGAGAAACTGAAATTTTCCGTGGGAAAATACAGAACGTCTTTTTGGGAGGTCTATCTAAATTATTTCGAGAAACAGGCAGTTGGCGACAGTCTATCGCATACACACAATGGACACTCCACAACCCGTGAGAACTTGTATGAAAGTTTTCTCCTTTCGTAAAAACAATATGCTTTCCGCACTTTGTTGGGGGTCACGTTTGACCTCAAGAATTTGTAAGTGTCATCAGGGTGGTCATCTGGCGCCCATTTGAAGTCTCCTTTTCCCAGATTTCGTGGGAGCCCGTGGGAAAATAGCTGACGATGTTACAGAATACGTATCTTTTGTTGTTGATGATTTTTGATTATCTTTTGTTTTTAGTCGCACGAATAGCAAATTATTTTTTAAGTATTTTTGATTTAATTAATCATTTTTTCAGTGAGTGACATAGGCTATATATTTTATACCCGTGCTAAGCCGGAGCGGATCGCTAGTTCTCCATATGACGCTGTTTTAAATTTAAGCATCGTGTTTAGCTTCAATTCTGTAGCTGATATTTCTCAACAGATTTTACTTTGTAAGTGTTGTATTTTCCAAAAATCCTGTCAGAAGGATGTAAATATTTCCCAAACGAAGCTGTTTAAAGGAATTAAAAACAACTTTAATGCCTTAAAAATATGATAATGACTTACCCAACATTTTAGCAATCTGTGACAAGACATCTCCTTGTGCTTTGATTTGGGATGAGCCTGTTGTAACATAGCTGCTCACAACTGGGTATTTGAGCTTGCAGAAAGTATCCAGTGTATCTAGGCAGGATTTAACGCTCTGGGCACATACTCCAGCAATTCGGGCATCATCTCCCATGTGTCTATGCACCACACCCACTTCACCAATAATACCCCACTGAATGGCCAAACCTGAAGATATAATGGGGCTTTAAATTTCACTTCAATTATTATAATAATATAAGAAACACAAATCAGCGCTGAAAAGGCAATATTAAATTTTATCTAATATTGTGGTCTACAATTTTTATCGTAAATATTAGTTTATTACGGAATCTTCGCATAATACATAATAGCATGTAAATTAAAGTAATTTTTCAAGAAACAAAGAATTTTGCAATAATAATTTCAAGTGTAATGGACATCATCTCCGGTCAGAAACCGGTGGCCCTCAATCATCGGTGTTGTCATAAACCAGTGTCTTCATATGTCCCATAAAAAGAAATCAAGATATGATAGGTTCGGTGATCGAGCAGGCCAATGCACCGCACCACCATTTACGATCCACTATAGGCCAAATATGACGTCTAGGTGGGTACGAACGGTGTGGGTGAAGTGGCCAGGCACTCCATCGTGTTGGAATTACACTGTCTGTCGCATCGATGCAGAAATCTGTTCGTTATTCTAAAAGTTATGGCATGACTTGCTGCAGAAAGATCAAGTAGTTAAAACCGGTTAGACGAAACAGTACGACGTCGTCTTGCATGAGGGTTCTCTACCACCTAGAGATGGTGTGATATGCATTGAATATTCCTTTCCTTATGAAGGATACTTCATCGGTAAACAACACATTAGCAGGGAAACGGTGACCTGTAGCACACTTTTAAAGATACCGTTGTGCAAAAACAATATGGAGGTGCATAATTGTCTGGTTAAAGTACCTGGATACACTGCACGTGATACGGATGCATTTCGGACTGGATAATCCTCCAGATGCTAGAACGGGAATTCCCGACTGCATGCGTTACACTTCGCGTACTCAAACTTGGAGTCTCCAGTACCTGATGTAGCACATACTTTTCGATGTTCGGAGTCCGTGCTGATCGTGCCCGATACTCTTTGAAAGGAACGTGTTTCAGCCAACCCCGACGCAGCCTTGCGAAGAAATTATGTACGCCTCATAGGATATCGTTTAGCGTACGAGCCCTGCGGGGCTGACCCACTACAATCGCCAACCCCTTATGCCAAATGCATATCGGTTACTTCCGCGTGGGTACAATAATGCATTTTGCTAACTCTCGTTCTTGTGCGAAATGACGATTTTCTACATGAACTCTCAGAACTTCCGGGTAACGCCATCTACCACGTCAGAAAAGCATTTCAGACCCTGCATTGCTATATTATTCCGAGTCCTTGGAGTGCACCCTACCCCTTCTAGAAGTTCTAAAACGTGGTACTGAGACACATGTATAGCTCTTAAAATTTGCCTGGCTGTCTAGGTACTTAACGAAATAAGACGGAGGATAATGACATTGTAGCGCAGCGTAACACGATGCACAAAGTCTGCAGACATTTCTAACATATCAAAACTATGATGCAGAGGAAAGAATATAATTTTGTTCATACCATGATATCCCATGCTGGACCTTTTCTCACAAACTCTTTCCATGGCTGAATTAGCGTAGCCGTAATTTGTTTGTCCGGCGTTGCCACGACCGCAGCTGATGGATGAAAAGCACACGAAGTAATCCAAATCTGGACAAAATTTCCGAGACAGTTCGTCCAAATTTTTTGTTGCTTCAGCTTTTGGAGCGCTGACGTCTTGGAAGTCGGGCGCCGTTTGGTACTCCATAAAAGCATCTTTCAAAACCTTAGGAAATTTGTGAAAGTACTGGGTAAACAGATTTTGAAATATGTACAGAATTACTTCATAAATTAAAATCGTAAATTAAACTACAGCTTCATTAGCATTTACCGCATCTGTCATGATTATTTATAAGAGGGATAAAGTTAATTTTCTAACAATAATGCGTTAATTAATTAGAAAATTATTTCATTTTGAATACAACCTAGAAATAAAACTTACAAAAACTGTATGTTGAATTCAGACAATATGTACGGAGAAAGATTTGCTTTATCTACAGTAATAAAATTTGGTTAAGAATCTACCAGAAAAGGTAAGATTCTTCATAAAACTAAGTAAAGAATACAAATAGCTAACTGTAGCTACATTAAATTAATCTTATTAAATTATAACGTATTTTTAGATGAAGTTCGTTAAAAAATGATCAGCTATTGATTATTATACTATGAATACATATTGATTATTATAAGTGTGAATATGCATTGTATATATATTTCTAATATATATTTATGAGGAAAATATACATTATTTTCCGCAATGAACCGCAGAAATCTGTAAATTAATGATCTGTGCAAACAAAACAGGAACTTTTACAGATGGATCCAAAGATTGTGATAGTTATTTTTTCTTCAACACATTCAGTACATGCATTTGATTACATTTTTGTCTCAGTTTACAAAAGGTGTTAAAATAAGACTGATATAATTTTTAAAACTAAACAGCAGCCATGTTTAAAATGTTATCGCTAATTTTTATTTATGTTTAATGTACTCTGACAAAGGGCTGAATAAACATTTCAAAAACGTTTCAATTTTGCCCAAAAATTTATCCTCGCAGATAAGGTTCATTTCTATTTGAATGATTATGTTTTTTAGGACTTTTTAAGGAAACTGTCACGTATCTATGGCAAACATGGGGACACCCACAAAAACGCTCACCCAGCCAACCCTGGCCGAACTATCAGTGTTCAGCACCTTTGCAGCTATACCACTAGTGAGCTTGTATGGATATCTTAACAAACAAAATTGTCGTTTTGGGGAGGGAAAACAGTCCACGAGACATGCACGAGAAACCATTGTATTCATGCAAGGTTACTGTATGTGTGGTTTATAGCACAATGGCATTTATCAGGCCAATTTCTTTTTCCTTCTTTTTTTTTTTTTTTTTTTTTTTTTTTTCCAAAATGAGAGAGGAGATGCAGTTATAGTGATTAATGAGGGATACCGATTGATGATTACGAAATTTTTGACTAAAGATTTGGAGAACATGCTGATTCCAATAAGACGGATTATCCTAAAGCTACTATCGACGTATTGCAGAAACAGTTTGGTGAAAGAATAATTTCACTAAATGCGACGGTTAGTTGGCGTTCCAGGTGTTGTGATTTAACTCTTTTAGATCACTTTTTGTGAGGTTATTTAAAATCAGTGGTCTGTGTCAACGAAACACGTACCTCTAAAAGCATTAAGAATAAACATCGTGACTGCATTCTTGACATTAGGTCCGAATAATTGTATAGTCTTTAAAAATTGTTTTAATCGATATTGCTTGTGTGCGCTAAATGGAAGTGGATACCTAAATCATGTTTTAATCAAAACATAGTGTTATGAATTGTACTTCAAAATAATACAAAAATTGGATTGTATCTGAAATAGCTTTTATTTTATTTCATTTTAAAATCATGTCATTCTTATTGGAAGAACCTGCAAAATCCGAATGATTTAAAACTGTACAACATAAAACTGTATAAATGAAATAACATCCTAACCTCTCCTGACGGTTGCATTCATTAAAATTTGTATTATTATTATTATAAGACACACACAAAAGAAGAAATATTTTTAACAATAAATGCAATGTGATTAAACAATAAACAATAAATGCAATGCGATTAAACAATAAACAATAAATACAATGTGATTGAATAAAAAAATTTTTTCTATTAGATGAGATCCCAATTTGAAAAATACATGAAATGTCCATATAAATAAAAGGTATTTAATCAGAAAGTAGTACTACGTTCATATTCACCAAAAAGAGAAAGAAAAAAATTGTACGTACAACAGCAGAATTGAATATTCCGCCAACTGGGCCGATCTGGGAAGCCAATTCCAGCAATTTTTTAGCTTCATCCTTTTTGGCGACGTTCAGCTGGGATACTTGAACTAAACAACCTTTTTCTTTCCATCTCTTCAAGCACAAGAAATGATAGGGAGTTCTGGCTCCATATCTAGATGTCAAAATGATTTTTTGCGCACCTTTTTTAATCATCCACTTCGTGAGCTCAATTCCAAATCCTCCAAGGCCGCCAATAATGATGTACACTTTGGTGTCGTAAAATTGGGTGTAAGATATGGCAGGCAATTTTAATATTTTAGGTTTTACGAATCTTTCTTTTTCTTCATCTCGTATCTGAAATGTAACAATAAGCAAATTAAGGGTAGAAGATTTAAAGCAAAAAAACAATCTTTCATAATCCAAAAAAACTTTATATCTGAGATTTAAACTCAAATATCAGCTGGGCTGTCGAAGAAAAGTTTAAAAGCCACTAAGTTTACTGATATTACGAAGACAAATTGGCGCAAATTTAAAGAATGCGGCAACTTTGTTAATAAAGGAGACATCTGCATAATTTTTTTGTTGTGTTTGCGACTAATCTCACTTGTTTGACATCAGAAAAATTCTACGAAGTAGTAAAACAGCAAACGGTTTCTTTTCACCAGCAGGATAAGGTGTCGAAGTTGCTGCAGTTATGCTCCATGAGGATAAATATTATATTTAAGTACAAGAAAAAATTAAATCTGCGTGCCTGAACAAACTATTGACGCGATCTTAGGAAAGATGGAAGGAAATTTTACAGCAGCTATTAGGAGACAAAACATTAACAGTGTGGGAAGCATTTAACTTTAACGATTAGCTCTTTTTTCCATTTCTTCAAGGGCAAGTATAAATGCAATGATTTACCGAAAAGCTCAGACAGATCTTGCACCGTTTTTTGGAAGATTAAGATGGGAATTCAAACTGGCTAACATTTGCATACATTGAAACATTTTGATAAAATGATAGCTTACAAAATAACCATGTCGTATTTGGACAGACCTGCCTTAGCTTCTGTTCTCTCCAAAGCCAGATGATGCAAAGGATTTTAACGTGTACCGTGTGTAGGAATGAAAGATAATATCGATATACGGAAAAGTAAAGCTAGCTGACGAAAAAGCATATTATTCCATTCTATTAAAAAACTAAAAATTACTTTTTCTTGTGAAAATACATTATTTCGAAATAACCATAAATCAAGGAAACTGTTCTTGTATGCTTAACATACTATTAATATTTCTTTCGTATGTGTATGGATATTTCTGTAACATTTTTCTTTTCTGTGTATAAATTTAACTTCCTAAATTAAAATTATTTTCTCATTCAGACTGTAACGTTTAATTTGATTCATCAAGTATATATATGAAACACTAGAGATATAGACGGTAATCTGCGATATGCAACTGTTAAAAAATGTAAAAAAATTAAAAAATTATGTTCAACTAAATATTTCGCATGAAAATTAGAGTTCTTGAGTTTGTGCCCGAAATTTGATCATCGTTCGCAGTTTCTTCATTAAAAATTAACTGTACCTCATATTATTCAGAATATATCAAAAAAGTTCCCTGAAGATTTTTTTTCCCTTTCTCAAACCGCTCGGAGAAAGAAACAAAATTTTACTTCCTGGGCTACGCTATACAAATAAAAATATTATTCTTGTAAAGGGTGCAGCAGTGTTCATAGCGTAATTTGACTTGCGTAGTACAATGACATACTGCATGAATGCGCGCCAGTTCGTGCCGCATTCGTGTACTAATGAGCTGCCATTTCGAGTGTGACAGTGATATGGATCGGTGGAGTGCACAGCATCCTTCCTTTGCTGTTGAAACTTATTTTAAGAATAACTACTCTGTTATTGCTACCCAGCGTCTATTTCGGCAACATTTCAACTTGGGAAGTCATGGGAAAGTTCCAGATAGAAGGACCATTGCGACAGACATTTCCAGGTAGAGTAATTTCCCGTTTTGGTGACATTTCCTGGCCGCCTCGCTCCCCTGATCTTTAATGTGCAGACATTTTCCTTTGGGGCCCACCTGAAGCAAGAAGTTTTCCGAACAGGTTGTGCCACCATTCCTGAGTTGAAGGATCGCAACAGAAGTGCCATCGGCAATGTCCCAGGAATTACGTTACGCCGAGTTATGGCAAGCTTCCAACGCCGCCTAGATGAATGTGTTGTGCAGAGGGGGCATCATTTGACAGGCATCCTATTCAAAAAGTAATCCACGCAATGAACAATGACTTACACATTAGTAAATGGCATACCTTTAACTATTAATTGACAGAAGAGGTAATAAATAAATTACAGTTGCTGCCTTATGGTGTGTTTTTTAATATCCTACTATGAACGATGTCGCACCCTGTAGTTATACAAAATATGCTTAATTAACCATAAAACATTCTATAAGAAAGCACATATTACGGAAAAGCGCTCTAAACTAAATAATTAGAGGGAATGGTTTCATAAAGAATTTTCTAACAAAGACTACCTAGTAGTCATCAAACTCGGTAAAATCAGCCTGTTCAATCGTAGAAAATCGAATCCTTTGCCCTCCCTCCCCCCAAAAAAAAGTTTCAGATTTTAAATTACGCAGTCAACCCGTTTGAACCAGAATCGAACTCCCAGTATGTACGCCCCTTCGCCACTGGTGTAGTACCTCTATTTTTGCAGCTTTTATCATAACAAAGAATTTTTTATGGTAGTATTTTTATTCTAGGCGCAGCAAAGGTGTTCAGCTAAAATACTGCATGTTAGAAGTGGAACTAAAGTCAAGACATAATACAGTTAATAAACAAAAGCAACTTTAGAGGATATAGCAGCTAGACACTATAATTATATTTATAAATTTTACTTAATGTAAAGTGCATAAAATTAAGTTCATAAACTATACGTTGTAGTGGAATTCGACAACAGCTACCTTCGTATAAAGTAACAACATGGAATGCTCTTGCACTCATTGTTAACCCCAGTTCTAAGTGGAAAAAATGAATGGTGAAGATGTAAATTTTATTTCTACAAAATACGTCCTTTTCCGAAATTTGAATATTGTTGTGGAAATTTATGTGACATCTAACTCATTGATAACAGCAAATTATTTGCAATTTCATATTTTGTTTACGCATATATCAAAAGCCAACAAAAAACAAATATTACGATCAAGGTATTAATATAACCTCTATAAGTTTCTATTTCTCCTATCTCATCCTTTGAAAGAACCCACATAAATAATGAGCATGTAAATATAAAACTTACTTTGATTAATACTTTTCCAATATGCGTTCCTCCAGCCATGTATCTGAAGGCTTTCTCTACTTCTTCTCGTTCGAATACCGTTCGATCAAGAGGTCTGACAACTCCATTTTTCATGCCTTCTTGCATTAATCGATTTAATTCTATGAAAAATTTTGTATTCTGTAGGTTGTATAAGAAGCGATCGATGAAGACACCATGGAATGTAATATTGTCTAAAAAGCGCTTCAAACCTGCAATGAAAATTCTGCCATGTATAAAATGAAGAGTTTTAACTTTTTGTTTTTCAATTCCCAATGGCTAGGCAAAAAGTTACGAAGAACTTTTTGCCTAAAATCTTATAAACAAAAGTAACAAACAATAGAACTAGGACCGAAGTCATTGAAAAAGTCATAAAAAGACCGAAGTCATTGCTTAAAGAGCGTTTTTGCCTCCTAGTACATCGACTGTTCTGTAAGACCACGAAGAGATCCACATCGGAGCAGCTGCTGCAGGTGAACGGCAAGGCAATCATGTCTTGCAGACAGACGGAAAGCCGGAACTGCATTGCGTCTTGGATTGTCGGGAATAAGAGGACTTAATTTCCAACTTTTTAAGGCCGCTCGAGTCAGACGATTTCGCAAGATATTAGATGTAAATAATTTTTTTAAAAACAGTTTAATCATACATCGTGTTAAGCTTATGTTATTTCTTTTCTTAAAAATGATTTTCTGCTCAAATGATGACACTATCAGTTCTATAACTCCGTCTTTCGAGAATGATTATTTCGGTTCATTACTTGTTTTTAAATCTCCAAATCGTGATTTAATATGTGTTAGATCATAAAAGGATCCCATTAGTAGTTTAATTAGAGTTCATACATGAACAGCTGTACCTTCATATGATGTCTTCTGCAAGGCAAACACTGTCTGACATAATTTGATCAGAATGCTTTCCTAATCGAGAAAGTGGAATAAGGAAAGGGTTTATTCTTGCATAAAGCTTTTATATAAAGTGTCGTTTTGCGGTAGTAACAGGAATTTTTGCAGTTGCTTAAAACAATCATCAAGACGTTGAAAAAACTGTTCTGTTCATTACTTTGTTTGACAGCAGAGCCAAAGACGGTCTTAAAAGAATTTTGTAACATATGGGTAACCTAAAAAAAAATTGAACTGCTTTTTCATAGAAATCATTTTCTAAATGATTGTATACACGAAATTTGTATCAATCCGTCTTGCTATTTCAATCTAAATCCATCTATATCCTTCCTAAGCTTCTAAGTTTAATACATCGGATAAACGATTCCCTTGTGAAGACATTTTTAAGCCGGATTTTAAGATCGATTAATGATACTCAGAAAATGAAACATTTATATGACGATCCTCATATAACAATCATTAGCTGTTGATTTGAGAGTTATTGAGCTACCTGTTTCATGTCAACGGATTCCTTTATACAATTGGATGCGTGTGTTGATATTGTTGCTATAATTTCGCAAATAATATTTGACAGCTTTCTCTTTCTGTCTCTCCCCCACTTTTCACGATGCTAAGAATTAAGAAGTGTATTTCTCAAACACTTAAAGTTTGAATACTCAGATTAAAAACTCTGAGTTTATTGATATATTTTTCTCTTTAAAACTATGTTAAAATTTGTAAAACCTTAAGATTTTACACCATGGGACAATTTTATATTCAGTTGTTGCTTACCAATCTCTCGGTCCAAAGATAAATCATATTTCCCAAGCTCTACGAATCTTCCATGCTCTGCTACACAACGGATACTCGCCAAAAATTTATCATCAGCAAGTGAGTTTAAAACCACATCCACACCTAAAAGGGAAACAGTAGCGTTTTAAATCATTCCCGTTTACAGAAATTTAAATCACATAACATACAGTTACATATATCATATTAGGTTGGCAAGAAAATAATTTCGTTTTTAGTGTGAATTAAAACTCAATTAAATTAACTTTAATCAGTGAAATATCTTCCATTCTATTCAATGACTTTTCAACTTTCTGCTCACTTCATGATTCCTCGCTTATAGAATTTCCCTTCTTTATCAGGAAAACACTCAAACAAGTTCGATTTGAAGTCATCATCATTACTGAAATTTTTACCATTTGAGAAGTTTTTTATACTTCGAAATAAATGATAATCTGATGGTGCATGGGCCTATCGAGGATGCTAACATCACTTCCCAACGAAGCTCGAACAATTTAGTATGTGTTGCTAAAGATATGTGAATCCTAGCATTATCGTACAGTTGAACACAAGTCCTTTGCTATTTGCCAATTATGGCCTATTCTGTTTGATTCCTTTCTCCAGTTTCGTAAGTTATTTTCAGTAAACATCTGAGTTGGTCGTTTGGTGCTTGGAAGCAAGTCAGAATACACAAAACCTTTGCAATCCCCGAATTTACAGCATGATCTTTTGTGATGCATTCAGCTTTCGATATGATTTGGGCTGATTTATCATGATAGGACCATGATATTTTTCGTTTAATGTTATTGTAGACAATCCCTTTTTCATCACCAGTGGATAATTCTTTTTAAAAAAGGGTCGATTACGTTACGTTTGAAACCCGTATCGGAAATATTGATTCGTTAAGTGAATTTCCTTCAATTCATGCGGAACCCAAATATCGATCTTCTTAACGAATCCAAGACATCTTATGTGGTTTAGAATTATTGTGTGAGATGCATTTAGCTTTTCTGAAATCTATCGCACTGTTATAGGACGATTGGTAATTTTCAAGTGAGAAACGTCCAAAACGAAATTTTTTAATCCAATTCTGACACATGCATTCTGTTAAACAATCAACACCATTAACTTCACATATCTATTTATGAGCCTCAGCCGCTTTTTTGCCTTTGATAATATAAAAGTAAGATGTGTCGAAAATGTTTATTTTTGCACTCTATATTAAAACTGACCGTAAATTTACAGTTGTAAGCAAAATTACACAGGATTTGTTTCTATAACAACGTAAAAGTGGCAACTGCTAGATCTGAAAATAAAAAAGTAAAGAAAACAGAAGAAATGTAGAACTTATATCATGGTATCTATTTATGCAAACCGAAGTTATTTTTTTACCAACCTAATATTAATATCCAAAATTCTTATATAAATATATAAGATAGTAGCATTATTATTAAGCCGCTAAGCTGTGATGCTTAAAACTTTTATCATCTAAGTTTATTAATGGGATTTAAAAGCGCCACCTATGTATATCTTGAGTTAAGTTGCTCTTGAATGGCAACATTGTTAATATATCTTTAGAATAAGTTTGTTTTGAAATTATTTTAGTTCTATTGTTAAAAGTAAAAAACGGAGTTCTTAAAAGAAATAGTTTGGATTTCTTATGTCTCATCCAACAACGTGTTTGAGTTACCATGGCAGTTGTTAGAAAATAAATAAAATGGAAGTTCAGGTGATTTTTTTTTTTTTTTTTTTTTTTTGTGTGTGTGTGTTTGATTATTTGTATTAGACAAAATTTCGTGTCATTTATTGGTGAGTCAGCTGGGAGTGTTGGTCTTTGGAATCGTATGGAAGTGTTTTGCTGACAATAGTAGTCAAGTAGTATTTAACTAATTCTCAAGCAATTTTTTGCTCTTCAAGAATTATTGAGGGAAGAACTTTACCCAATACCATGCTAATAAAGTCCTTTAAATCTGGAAAAAAGATAAGTTGGTCTAAAGGAACAATTACCTCATAACGATGATTGGCTGACAACAGTAGAAGCCATTGATCTTGCAACTATGATAAGCACTCTGGACCGGATTTTAGAGGCCCTAGACACTTAAAAAAATTGGTGCTCCCATATGATTTTCCGCTAATTTTCCCCCCTTTTATTTTCTGTCAGTCTTGGTTTAGCTGCATCTAAGTACCTGTTTATGGTGCCTCTTTTCCTTGAGGCCTCAAACATGTGCTTATTTTGCTTAGTGGATAATTAATCCAGCTCTGCAAGAAGTGTTCAGGCAGGTAGAGTTAAATTCACAGTCTATGAAACATTTATGTCTGTGCATATTCCCTGTTTTAGATGATAACACTTAAGGCTTTCTGCACTTACGAATGGATTCCGAAAGCTTCCTACAAGTAATTAATAATTAAATAATTAAACAAATTTCAAGAATTAATATCTTCCACGCATGTAAACAAATCCTCGTGGCTTAAGAAATTGTCTCACATAGTAGCTTCTGATGGATGTTAGTGGTTAACTTATTGTTTCACATTGCTTCTGTGCGTTAGTGGCTAAACTTTAGTACGGTCATTTATGCACAACAACACATACTACGCCACCTTCTTATTTGATTTCGCTAATCTGTACTTACTTTTACGATCATAGCTCCTGTGAGAATCTAATTATGAATCTCTAACATTCCTTCTGTCCTCTGCAGTTCCATCGTAATTACGATCATCTTGTAGAGACGTTAGGTTATTTCGAAGCAGGAGACGTGAAAAATGAGTCGCCGGGACTCAAACTTCAGACCTTTCGAATGCGCGCCGAGTGTGCTGACCATTACACCACGAAGGCATGCTAAGAAGGCAGGCGAAATACCTTACATGCTCCTCCTTTTAAAGGGCGACTGGCGATTAGGGGATCCAATAGTCAAATCTTGGTGGTGGAGAATTATCATCGACCACCTTTTTTTAGTTTGGACGCTACTGTAGAGACATTAGGCTATTTGGAAGCAGAAGACATGCAAAATGCGCATTGCCCTCGCCGGGACTCGAACCTCGGAGCTGTCGAATACGCGCCGAGCGTGCTGAGCATTACACCACGAAGTCATGCTAAGAAGGTGGGAGAAATACCTAAAAATCTTATCAATGTTAGTATTATCTTTTCGCCTCATAAACGGCATCAAGTTAAGAAAGTTTGGCAACTTTCGATTAATGTTGGCAACAAAATTTTTTGTAATTTAATAATACGCTTACATAATTATTACAACATTGCTCTCTCTTATTACAGCACTGCATATAAGCCATTTTATATTTTAGCCCAAAAGGGGCGTTATCCCCGAAATATTATTGCCGTGTATTATATTTAAAGAATTTAAATAATGAAGCATCTGCATAAATATATGTATGTTTCTCGCATCGTGAAAAAACAATGATACCTAGAGCCATCAAATTTTGAAAACGTAGTACTCCAACCCGACTATAAGCCCCTACAAGCCTTAATTTGGAATTTGTTTTATTGTCTATTTTATATCTTGTATGATTTTAACGAATTTTTGATGAAATTGTCTATCGGAAATTCTAAAGGTATGCTGTTTTTAAATATAGGGTTGTAAGGAAAATAATGCAAGTTTTTGCAATTATTATGTTGTGTATCAAATTTAATGTAATTAAATGAATCACAGAAATCAGAATTTTAAGGTGTAAATATTCAAAATTTTAGCTACACAACAGGTTTGGATATATTGATTTATTTGGCTATTATTATTTATTGCAATCAATCTGGGTTATTTGGTTTTACGCGAATTGCGTCTTCAAACTTGTACACTCAGACAATGGATATAGGTGAATTTTCACGTAATAAACTCAGTTTTTCATGATAAAAATTAAGTTAAACACTTAGTATTTAATATCAATAGTTGCAGAAAAATTAGCTCTTTAATTTGAGATAACTTTTATTTTCCTAACTTCAATTACATTTTAGTTATGAGCTTTTAATTAATAGATTTTTACCGTTGACATTGTGATTTATATTCTGGAAGAGGAAATCTCCCTTTTCCGGTAAAATGGTCGTTTTTTCGAGTTTTCAGTGCACTTTCACTGGGGCCTCTTCCAGGGTGTTGAGATTCCCACGTTCTCCCCTCTTCTAGGCGTGGCTGGTTGGCGAGTTGGAAAATCCGTTGGGGTTTCAAAGTGGTTATTTTGGCGAGGGTGTTTGCATGATGGAATGCTGAGTGTTGCAACTGGTTTCCCCTTGGCGGGGCGTGAGTGGTGCCAAGTTGGTGTTCCTGCGCGTTGCTTTTTAACGGGCGGTTTTGAGGAACAAGTTCACTTTTTACACTATTACACTTTGGACTTTTACACTTTGGCCGGGAATTAAGCTGTTCTCAGAGATTGGGAAAGAAGAAAGAAATGGAGTTTCACCCGCTGGATCTACGGGGCTCTCGTTACCCTCGTAAACGAAGAATTCTCGAGTAATATCTTCGGCAACATTTTTCCATCTGAGCATTTCATCTTCTGTGTTTACTCGATAAGTCCAGTTTAAAAAAAAAATCAGATTCGTAGGCCGATAATGATCTTTCAGACTCCACAATTTATTTCTTAAAAATGGAAAATGGACTACCAGTTGAAGCCTTCTACAAGATCCTTACTAAAAAAAAAAAAAAAAAAAAAAAAAAAAAAAAAAAAAAAAAAAAAAGATGTGAGGGTTCTCAAGAAAATGCTTACTCTTCTCATTCTCGAAATTAACGGAAAATAGACTTGGAACTTCCCCTGCAAAAGCTGCTGAGATCCTAGAAAATTTTTATGCTTCTAATTCACGAAGATTTTTCCGACAACATAATCTCTTCCACAGATGTGCGGGTTCCCAAGGAAATGTTTACTCTTCTCATTCTCGAAATTAACGGAAAATAGACTTGGAACTACCCTGCAAAACCTGCTGAGATCCTAGAAAATTTTTATGCTTCTAATTCACGAAAATAGAGGACTATAGTTTTGGAACTTTCTCCTCATCATCAGAGTTTTGTGTTTGTGTAGTGACCTGTTGAATTCACCGCTTCCTCCTCACCAACCAGGCCTCCCAGCAGTTTCAGCTAAGTGTTTTATTTATTTATTTATTTTTAATAGTTTTTGGTTGTTAAAGAAATAATTTTGTTTGTTGAGATAAAGTAACTTAATTAGAATGAAATAATTCTGTTTGTTGAGATAAAGTAACTAAATTAGAATGAAATAATTTTGTTTGTTGAGATAAAGTAACTTAATTAGAATGAAATAATTCTGTTTGTTGAGATAAAATAACTTAATTAGAATGGCTAAGGAAATATATTCTTAGTTAAATTATTTAATTAAAGCAGTGAATTTCTTTTATCGTTAAGATTTAAAATTAAGGTGCCATTAATTGAGCTTCATTGCAACGCTATTGGAATAAGTTGTTTGTAAGATGTAAAGCCTGATTTTATTCCTTAATATTTTACCCGGTTTATTTTTTTAAAAAGAAAAACAATTGATTAAAATGTGCAATAACCTTCTTAATATCATTTTGATTCTGTACTAAGTTCATTAATAGCTTATTCTGTGTGGAATTTTTTTTGAAAGTGTAAATTGTTAAATATTCTCTTTTTTCCCCCCGGGGAGGGTATTGTTAATCTATCAAAAAATTTATGTGATTATGCTTACCAGTATTAATTCAAAATAATGTTTGATATTATAGAGTCTTGAAGGAAAATTGTGAGATTATTTAGTTTAAATTTACATTTTGTTATATTCAATTATTTACTCCTTAACTGGTTAAGATCTGCTAGAATATAAATTGCATAAGAGTTAGTTAACTGTTTTTTTTTAAGAGTTAAATAAATAGTCATACTTTTCTGGATCAGTCAATGTATATATATATATTTTTTGTGTGTGTGTGCTCATGTCTTTCACCAGTCAACTACTTAGATTTTATTTCAGGGTTAATCCGAAACACATTGCAATGATTAGGTTTATTGGTATTAGTATATATATCTGTTGATAGAAAATTTTATGTGTTACGGTGTCAACTTAGTAGGCACATAACATTTTGGTGCCATTAAAAAAAAAAAAAAAAAAAAAAACACGTAACAGTTTATCTTTCCTGTACATTTTTAGCAACAGATATTATTTTGAATTACACTGACTTATATATCATTTTGAAGCTCTATTTTCGCTCTATATTTCTATAATAATCATTTTGTTCCAAAATTATTTTCAAAAATATTTACTAGATGTTTTTGTTTAGATGTCAAAAAGGGATTTTCTGCAAATTCACTTTTATGTGTACAAGCCAAGCCACAGCGCAGCACAAACGGCTCGAAATGTCAACGATGGGTATGGGGCGAAAATGTGTAAATGAATCTACAATTCAACGGTGGTACCAAACTTTTCATCGTGGAGAATTTGACTTGGAAGTTCAAGAGCATCGTCGATGACGATGAGTTGAAGACTTAAGTTGAACCAAACCCCCTGCAGAACCATTCGAGAGCTTTCGAAGGAGCTTGGCACAAGAAAACAAGGATTTCTGATCACTTGAATCGTATAGGAAAGTCAAGGAAGCTCGATAAGTGGATGCTTCACGAATTGATCGAAAATTAAAAAAATCGCCGTTTTCAAGTATCGTCCGCTCTTCTTCTCCGCAACAAAAATGACACTTTTCCCTGATCGAATCGTTACGTGCGATGAAAAGTGGATTATCTCCAACAACTGGCGACATTCAGCTCAGTGACTGGACCACGGTCAGACACCACAACACTTGTACCCAAAGAAAATTGTGGTGACTGTTTGATAGTGTGCGCCCGATCTGATCCACCACAGCGTCTTAATCTGGGCGAAACGATTACGGCAGATAAATGCTGTCAGGAAATCAACGAAATGCACCAAAAATGTCAAAGCATGTGCTGAGCATTGGTCAATAGAAAGCGTCCAGTTCTTCTCCATGACGATGCTCGGCCACACGTTGTGCAACTGACCCTACAGAAATTGAATGAATTGGAATACGAGACTCTCCCTCCTTCCCCCATATTCGCCTGACCTCTCGCCGACCGATTACCACTTTTTCAAACATCTGGATAACATTCTGCAGAAGAAATGCTTCAGAAACCAAGACGAGGTCAAAAACGCCTTTGACAACTTTACCGCTTCCACAACACCAGAACATAATAAATAAACTTAAAATAAACTTAACCTGTTAATAAAACTTAACCTTAAAATAAACCTGCAATAAATAAACTTGTACTGCGTTGGCAAAAATGCATTTATTTGGCTGGTTGTTATTTTGATTAAAAGAATTTTTTCTGAGTTGAGTTATGATACTTTAAAGATATAATTTAAAAACATGCATTATTCTCCGGACAACCTTAATATCTTTAGTCAAAAAGGACATTAGCCCAAATTGCTTTCGAAACGTGCATGTGTGTGTAAATGAAAAAAAGTCCCTTTGGGCACCGCAATATAAATTGTATATACACTGGTTATCATAAATTAAGTAAAAATCACAAAAATCACGATTACTGAAAAAGTTACATGTAGAATTTTATAAAAATTACCCACAATATAAAACACATAGTAAGGTATCAAACAACATAAAAAGAAATTACCAGACAATTATGGTATTATAGAAATTAGCACATATATAAAATGAACAAATCGAAGGTGTCGGTTTGCTATAGGAAACGTACCTTCAATATGGAATATGATCGCCTTTAGAAGCAACATAGCACATACAGCGATGTGTGATGCTTTCAATTATGCAGTCTATCAGTAGCATAGGAAGCGAGAGCCATTGCTCTTCCAAAGCAGTTAGCAAGCGTGACAAGGGTCTAAGGGGGCGGATTGAGAGCAGTTAGACGTCTATCTAAAGCTTTCCAAATGTGTTCGATAAGATTCAAGTCCGGGATCGAGCTGGCCACTCCATGTGCATAATTATTTCCTGTTGAAGATAATCATCTACGATGCGAGCCCTGTGCGAGTCCTGTGCGGTCTTGCATTGCCGTCCTGTAACAGGAAAGCATCACCTATTGCCCCGGCATATGGGCGCACATAAGCATCAAGGATGTCATCTCTATAAACCGGAGCATTCACGATTTCCGTTGGAAAGACATTAAGGTCTGTGCGTCCATCCAAAGAGATGCCACCCCTAACAGAGACACTGCCTCTTCCGTATGCATCTCTTTAACGGCTTTTCGACGGATGATAACGGGTTCCAGGTTCTCTCCATATCAAATAACGCCTACTATCGCTTTCTAGACTAAACCTAGACTCATCCGTAAAGAGAACAGCCCTCCACAGATCAGGCGTCCAGTGGACACGTTGTCGTGCCTACTGGAAACGGTCTTTCCTATGGCGTGACGTGAGCGGCACACAAATGGCTGATTGCCTCGCATACAGACCACCTTCCTGAAGTCTTCTACGCACAGTTGATGTTGACACCAACCTTCCGGTGGCTGCAGCAAGGGAGGATCTAAAGAAGAGTCGGAGTAGCGTTTCTATTCCTGCGTGCACATAATGTCATATATCGGTCATCGGCGCTCGTCGTAGCAGTTGGCCGTCCTTGGCTAAACCTCCTAGATGCCGAATCTGTGGTTTGAGATCGCCTCCAAAGTCTCTGAACTACAGAAGGATTCACATTTAGCCATTTGGCCACTTCTGTTTGACTTTATCCTGCCTCTAGTCTCCCAATGGCTCTCCATCGTAGTTCTGCAGGCAAATGATGCCTGGAGGTCATTGTTACGAATTGGCTATCTCAGATTTCTGATGTCACTATCACAGTGAAATATGTAGGCTTGCTCTCAAACATGGACTTTTATTCTCTTCGCAGTTGACGTATTCTAAGTGCAGCGCCACTAATTTGCATATTGCAGTTTTATTCAGCTACTCTTTCTTGACAATATATTTAAATTTTACACGGTTTGTATTATTTTTGAGGGGAGTTATCCCTATTTTTGTGATTTTTCCTTAATTTATGATAGCCAGTGTAAAACTTTTCTAAGACATTCTCAGGGATATATCCCATCCCGTTAGGCTCCTGCAACGCTCGATCAGTTCTCGTTTATGTGTAGAGTCTTGTAAGATGAATGATTGTATGTTTGTCTTGCTATTTAAATTTTATTTATTGCCTATCTGTTATTTATGTGTTGATGTTAACGCAAGTTTAGGCCGTTATCAAGTTAGAAGTCTCAGTTACTTAACAGGTGACTGCACTTCAGTGATAATTCAATATGTATTAATTTTGCTGCAATATCTAATTAAACCTTGTAGTGGCAGTACACCATACGTCATTACTTACAATTTTGGTGGGTCAACGATTAATAAAAAGCAATTTGCAGTTTATATTTATTAAAAAATTAGCAACTCTCAAATTCTGAAATTGTAAATATTGTCTGAAAAGAACTCTTAAAACACAAAGAATTCATTGAAAAGATTACACACAAACATTTGGTTATATGATACATATGTTGAAAAGTTATGCGTAACTGTACCTTTTCCTGCTGTTCTCGTCTTAACCATGACCTCAAATGATAAATCACGTGAGCAACCAATATTTTCTTCTTTAATTTGTGGAAACGTTTTCTTCAAATATTCTTTTTTCTCTTCGGTACCTGTAAAGTACAATGGCGCCATTAGTTTGGTCATAATTTTGAATAATACATGATGTATTACTTAAAACAGCAGATTTAAAATTTCGTTCGCTGTAATTTTCGCATGCACCTTGCTTCTGAATTATGCAACGTTTTGATTCTGAAATTGATTTGATTAAAGAAAATGTATGTGAGGGCTATCTATCCCAGAAAGAAATGATTTCGAGAAAACCTTGTAGAGTCATTAGGTTTTATTGAATGCAAGAGACGTAAAAAAATGTGCAATGCCCTCGCCGGAACTCGAACCTGGACGTGTAGCACGCGCGCCGAGTGTGTTACCGTTATACCACGAAGGCATGCAGAAAGGAGGAAAAAATATTCCCGCTTTTAAAGGGTGACTGGGAATTAGGAGACCCAGTCACCGAATCTCAAACGCCATTGTAGAGACATTAGTTTTTTTTTTTTATTTTTTTTTTTTAATACAGGAGACATGAACTTCAGTTCAGACAGCGTATAGATATAATATTAATGTCACCACTGCCAATGATACTGTCATGTATCTGCCTGCGGTCTGCCAATCAGCTGCTACCTCGCGGTAAGAATCCAGTAAGTGATATAGAGGAGAGTTGTATGGTGAACGAGTGGTAGGGCGTTTACGCTTGAGTTGGAATTTGAAGTTTATCCAGCAGGGCTGATTTAATTTGTAAGGTACTGAACACCTGTGTTTCATTGGAGTTATTTTTTTAAATCATATAATATCAAACTCATGTAAATAGTTGTACATAAAAGTCGTGCTTCTATATAATAAAGGATTAAAATTCCAATAATGTATCGTGCCACGTCTCAGCAACCCCGACAAGCATGACAGATACCTAGTACAGTAAACATGAAAATGCTTTATTTCATTATAATGCAGGGTTGTTGTTATCTTGAGATATGGCAGACGCCGATTATAAAAGTTTTAGTTTAATTTAAAGACTTTTAGTTTAACAGTACGTAAATTTAGCTTTTTTAAGATTTCGTACACTTTCTGGTTTTACATAAGTAGAATAATATGTGAACAGTTAAATAAGATCTCAAAAAGAACTTTAATGATATACTTGAAATATAATAGGTGAAACCGAGCATGGTGACAAATGACTAATATTATGTAATTCTATGATTAACTTTTGATATGATTGGTTTACGTTCTAGATACATGTCTATTAGTTATTGGCAGTTTAAAATAAAAAAAAATATGTATACTTTCACTATTTATATTGATTCTTAAATAAGAATTCCACATTTTTATATAATTTAATACTAAATGTTTTTAAACTATATTCTAGAACACTTTATAAAATCTGAAGGAAAAAAAAAAATATCTGTGCAGCTATGCCATTATGCAAAAATGCAATTTCATATTTCTTCATTTTGCGCTAGAAATGTATGAAATACAAAATATCTAATGCGTAAAGAATGCTGAGTGAAAATAAAATCTTGACCGCCTGTTCAATGGAGGAAAATTAAGTGTAAAAGCAACTTTTCTTTTTGTGTTTGTATCCCTTGAAAAAAGCTGAGTTTATAGAAGTAACAAAATCAATAACTTACCCACTGTGGTAAATATCTCGCACTGCATGCTCAGTGCAATGCAAATTGCGGCAAAACCTATACCTCCTGTTCCCGAATGAATTAAAATGCTTTCCCCTGGCTGAAGTCTTGCACGTGTTATCAGGGCATAATAACATGTCATGTAGACCACTGGGATAGTGGCAGCCTCTTCTAAAGTCCAGTTATCTGGCACTTCAAGTGAAATTAAGCTTTCTACTTTGTTCGCTGTTCCGATACCTCGGTTTCGGACAATGCCAGTCAATCTGCGGCCGTCTGAATCTTTTCCAGAGCACTCGATACCTACTACAACGTCATCTCTACCCTCTGGATCTGTAAAAATAACAATAAAATTAGTATTAAAACGCAACTGGTTTGTTAATACAAAACATTTAAATAAAAAAAAAAGGTTTATATGAATAAAAACGAACTAATGGTACTAACTGGAGCTATTAAAGACCAGCTACCAACAGGGAATCTCATTTTCTAAACGCAAACAAATTGAAAAAAACTTTCTAATATGCGCAGAGGATTGCCTTTAGTCTGCCAGTCTGCCCACCAGCGGCCGAGCGGTAAAGTCGCTGAACACTGGTAGTTCGGTCCGAGGTTCGAATCCGGCGAACGGGCTGGCTGCATGGGTGTTTTCGTGGTTTTCCCCATGTAACGTGTATACGAGCCAGTTTCCCTTAGAAAGTCCTCCACGAAGGCAACCCTCCCCTTAGGCAGATAGCCCTAGTGTGCTTTGCCATAATTAAATACACCATTATTAGTCTGCCAGTCTACAAAATCACAATTCAATTTTTTCACACTGCGCTCAAAACTTTATCACTAGAAAAAATACTCCCAAACCGCTGATAGATTTAGGTACGCATGCGCCAGCTCGTCGGACCCAGATGCCCATAGCTCATAGATTTTTGTAAGTATGGTTTTCTTTCTGTTGTTGAACTCTCACACATATCAGCAGCAAAAGAGGCATTTAAAGCACTATGACTGTAAGGCTTCTTATAAGCATACATCCAAATACAGAACAGTTATGCAAGAATCAACAGACTCGTATCTCATTCATGTGAGAATCAGCGTTGGTTTAATTTTTAATTAATAAGGCAAAGATTATCCAAACTCTAATAGCCTAGAATTATTAAAAACAAAAACATTAGCCAATATAAAATTAGTGAATTTTAATTAATTGTATTTTAAATATACAAGTATATTAATACAGTACAAAGTCCGTTATCCGGACTCGTCGGGACTTCGGCGATTCCGGATTAGGGTTTTTTTTTCGGATTATAGCTCATTAATTTAAATCTCTTAAGATGGCATGCAGAATTTATACAATTAAAAATATGAAACCGCAATTTATGAAATAAAGAGCAATTATGATCTAAAGGGTATCAAAATTTACCCAAATAAAAGTTAATATTTATTTGTTTATTTTATTAAACATTTCTTTCAATGTAAGTTGTTTAAGTTGCTTCGTTTTTTTGTGCTAAACGCGCATGCGTAATCATTAAACGCGCATGCGTAAAGCATATAAAAAAAGTTTGTTGCTTTGAAGTCCGGATTATAGATCATTCCGGATAATGGACGTCCGGATTACAGATACGGATAAAGGTACTGTAGTGTAATACGTTAAAAAACTGCTTTCGAAGAGAGCAAGAATAAGGTGTTTTACAGAACATTATAATTTATAATCTTCTGGTCCTCAACTGAAAAACGTTTGAGAAACGCTGACCTATACACTTTTATTTTGAATATCAACATAGAGTATGATATGTCTCCCTACTCGCATAATTTTTTCCCTCATTTTTTCCACAAATGATTTAGAAACTTCTGATTTATGCAACAACGTTAAATGTATGCACAATAGGAACGTATCTTATGCGAGTAAACGGAATGTTATTGCAATTAAAAAGCATTTGAACGACATAATATAATAATTTTATAATGCATCTTTATGTGTGCTTTTTTAATGTGCTATGTTTATCATTAAAGCCTTGTTCAGAAATAGTATACATCGCGCAAAATTCTTCTTGGCTTTTAAGCAATTAAATTAGTAAAAAAATGGAGGGGCAAATATGGTAACTGGCTTATTTCAATCGAAAGCATTTTTGTTTATAATATCATTAAAAATACAATGCATGAAGTACTAAATCCATAAAGGATTTCCAAGCTCGTTTATGCTTTTTATTCAGTGTATTAGAGAAAATAAGATAATATCATTACCCTTTCCAAATTCAGCAGACAGTTTTCCAGAAGCGATCATGATATCTCGGAAATTCAAAGCAGAGTAGTACACGTGAAACGTTTGATCTGGGCGAAGCTTAGTGTATTTTATATGAGATTCCCTCCATTCAAATGAAGAGAGATCCCCTGTCTTGGCACACATGGCGAAGCTGTGTTCAACAGGCTCTAATGGTTTGCCTAAATAAATAAATAAATAAATAAAAACTTTAAATTTATATTAAAATGGTTAAAACTATTTCTCTGTAGCTGAGAGGTATAAACAGAGCGTTTATTAAAATATGCACCAAGCCCAAAAAAGTCATTACCCAGCTTTTATTTCCTCAACCGTTGTTACGCAAATGGTTAAACCCGTACCGAGGTTAGCGTCGCCGACTGCCGTGCCGAAAGGCTCAGGTTCGAATCCCGAAGAAGGCATGGATGTTTTTAAATGTATAATGTTCGTTCGGCATGCGGACACTCTAAATATACGGCGAGCCGAAAGTCCTCTCGAGAGGTTGATGGTAGGGAAGAAGAGGTGTGAGACACTCTAATCTATCCCCACCTGGTGGTTCTCCATCAAAACTGGGAGCGGAACTGAGCAAAGTCGCACCGTCCCCTGTAAGGTGCCAACGACAGGCGTAACTTTGCGATCCTTACCAAGAGGGATTTCGTGGGCTGACTATAGGTCAGACAAGTGAGCTTTGGTTAAAACCAACAACAAAAACAACCAAATGTTTTAAATGAGGCAAAGATTTATGGTTTTTTTAATTTTAGATAAAAAAAATGTTTTGCTGTTGTTATTATGATGAATTTCGCTTTCTGATATCAGAGCTATCTCACGAAATTCACATTTTCGTAATTTTTGCAAATTTTCATAATTTTTACAAAACTGATTTTATTTTTAAAATTTTAGAATGCTAAAATAGGAATTATTGCGTCATTTAAAACAATTTTGTAACTGTGTAGAGTCATTTTTTTTTAAATTCAGTTTTGTTCGCCGAAATTCTATCTTCCTGCCCATTGGCTGAATTGCTTGTTTTGGCTTATAAAGTGTAATTTTAATTGTGAAATTTTTTTAATTGTTTTTTTACTGTATTTGGTGCTTTATCTTTTTTTTAAATAAAGATGTTTTGAATTTTTATGTATTTTTGCCTTGCTGCGAAGTGAGAACTGCATTCTTTGAATGATAGATAGAATTAACAGAATGAATTCATTAGAGATACATTCTCGTCAGCGATTTCAGTTCTCACTTCGCGGCAATGCAAAAGTACATAAAAGCTCAAAGCATCTTCATTAAAAATTATAAAATACAGAAAAAACATAAAACACGAAATACAGTTAAAAACAATTAAAAAACAATTTTGCAATTAAAATTAGAGTTTCTACGCAATAATAAGCAATTCGGCCAGTTGGCAGAATTTTGTGTGCATAAAACTGAAAGTTTATTTTTGTTCACACTGGGCAAAAAGACACGCAATTTGATGCACCAACTGACTTAATTCACTATTCCACTAAGAGTTTCAAATGTAAACAATAGAGACTTTGTTAAGCTATGTAGCGGCTTTTTAAATTGTTTTTGATAATTCTACACTGCATGCATATTAACTAAAAGCATAGAAACCTTAACCAGAATATAAGAATAACATAATTCAATCACTTTTAAAGCAAAAAATGCACAATTTGCCAAAATATAAGAATAAAAACTTGAACACACCAAGCCGGGTAACAGAGTGGGTATGTTTAGTTTTAATTAAGTCTTTTCATTAAGTTTAATAATTCACTTAATTTTAAACTTTGGATTATATGCTATTTGTTTAAAGATAAAATTTTTATTTGAATTTTTCACTGAAATAATTTATTATTTCACTGACGTTTCATTTCTTAACTAGAATTCTCTTATTTAAGATAAAATTCTATTAGAATTTACTTTTTCCCCTTGCTTTGGGAAGAGGCAAGAATTTTCAAGTGAACGTTACTAAAATTCCTCTTCCAAAAATAAGCACAGATGTAACATGCAAAAAAATCAACAAATCTGCTTTGATGACACAAAAATTCGTAGAAGTAAGTAGCATATATAATTATGCATAAAACAAAATCAATAATTATATACAGAAATGAAAACAATACTTACATTTTTGTAAGTTTATCAGATAATAAACATATTGAGACTTAAACAGAATTATGTATAAAGCGAAATTAAACAGCAAGGAAAAAAAAAAAAAAAAAAAAAAAAAAAAAAGGACATTAATAGGTTATGTGATCTTCCCTCATCTGTTTGTTTACAAAGTATACACCGTGTCACCATGCTTTCAATTAGGTGGTCAACCACCGCAGAATTAACACGTTGAGCGCGGTGCCGAATTTGCTGTCCTTTCCGTTCAGCCGGCAGCGAGCTAAGCCGTATTTTTGTTTAGAATGTTTCAATACATTTCATTAAAACTAAATTTGATCACATTTCATTGAGATTATATTTATTTTTTAACTTTAATACTATGTCGGTCCTGCTGACCGACGCCAGCCAAACGAAAATTCCAGTGCCGGCCCCCAGCGCAGACGCCGGCCACACGGAAAGTTCGCTGCCGGTCCCAGGGACCGGCGCTTCGCTCAACGTGTTAAGCAGTCGCCATGGAAGTCATAGAAACACGTATGTCTTAAAAACAAATTGTACGAAAGTTTTAATCACCTTTTATAAGCACTTACAATCAAATTCTGTAATCATTCATAAAGCTGGTCTCTTATAAGACTGCCTTTTTTGCATATTTCTTGGCATGAAAGCGCGATTGGCTGTTACCTAACATATTTGTATACTTCCATCCGCCTCTGCAGCGAATTGCATCCTCTTCAATTCTGATTGGTTTCCGGAAATTATCATTTTCCTCTCCGTGCTTAACTTTTGGAAGTGAGTGTACATTGAAATGGGAATACATTACTTTTAAAGTAACAAAAGCAAATAGAATTTATTTTGTATTGCTGACTGACAATAATATGCACTCGTATTTTGATTTTTTTAATAAAAAATCTGATGTGGACTTCCTTTTACAGAATTAAATTATAAGCAGTTTTTCCTGCATTTCATTTAAACTTATTTCCTCGAATTTTATTATATATATTTATCATTCAATTAATTCAGTTCTCACATCGCAAGAAGACAAAAATACATAAAACCTCAATATACCTTCATTAAAAATATAAAAAATATAAAACACCAAATACATTTAAAACAATTAAAAAATATACAATTAAAACTAGAGGTTCTACGTAAAAACAAGCAATTCGGCCAGCGGGAAAGAAGGCAGATTTTTCGGTGCACAAAACTGAAAGTTTACTTTTGTTCCCATCCGGCAAAAAGATGCTGAAGGTGCAGAAACTGAATTCACTGTTCTGTTAAGTTTCAAATGTAAACAAATACGGCTGCTATGGTAAAAAAATTGGGCTTAACCGCACGTAAACACCTTTTAAATTGTTGATAATTCTACAACTATTGCATGCATATTAACTAAAAACATAAAACTCTTAACCGGAGGATAAGAACAGCATAATTCAATCTATTTGTATACAATTTACCAACATATCAGAAAAAAATAACTGAGCTCACGAACCCGAGTAACAGAGTGGGTATATTTGCTTTGGCCGATTGCAACAAAAAAGGGAGATGCACAACTATATGTTATAGTAATCCTATATACACAATTTCACCGTTCTGAGTCTATTCTTTTTGAAGTTATGTGAAATACATACGTAAGTGCGTACGTACGTACACTCAGACGTCACGAAAAAAATCTCTTCTGAATCCATTTTAAATCCCTTTTTGCAACCTGTTTTGGGAAAAGAGTCCTTTATTGTATCCTTACGTACAAATATCACGCAAAAACATCGTTAAATTGCATTCGATAGCGGTCAAAATGGATATTTTCGTTCAAATATAATACTGGAAAATTTTCGCGATTACAATACTTCCTTTATTTCGCACAAGGAAGTAAAAAAGATAAAAAGATTTTTATGTAACCTAAAACACTAACACATGTTTGAGGGGCTGAAAAGAAGTCTTAATAAATATTTTAATGGCATGGTGTGTTTCTGACCATCATATCAACGATTAATTTTTTATTTAAAAAGAAACAGACCTAATACCGCTGAAAAGGTTATTAGACGCTTATTTGTCCCCTCCCTAAAGGGAAGAGTCCTTAGGAAAAGATAATATAGAAACAGAAGAGATAAAGTTATCCCACAAATAACAACCAGTCTGTGAGATTATTATATTACCTAAGGAAATAATGTTTAATGTACTGTTTATCAGAAGAAGGATAAAGAAATCCTTTAAAAATTAATATTCAACATGTTGCAGGAAATATCTCATGTCATGTTTTCGAAAACTGAACCTAAAAGTGACTACAGATTCATTCAAACATCTGTATTTAATAAATGTATAGCACAAGATTTTATTTATTTAGATGCGTTTGTTCTCAGTTCTACCTAACTTTGAAGTTAGCTAATTCCTTCTCCTTAAACGCTGAAAAGTTGTATTTAATAAATAACTATTATACAATTTTCAAAAAATATACAATGCAGTAATTTAAAAAATACTCATTATTTTAGACATTTTAATCAATATCATAAATAAAACAAAGTTTAGAAGTTTAGAAGAAAAACTTACAAAATATACTAGAAATTTTACCTCCATGAATTCGTAAGTGCCTGAAAGATCCCCATAATCCATTCTTCCATACATTCATGAGCAAGTTCTTTTTTACAATATGATCGTAAAAGGGTTCGTCTAAGCTGAACGGTGGCAGCTGTGGTCCCTTAGCTGGCTGCTCTATGAAAACACATCTTGAAAAGAAAAATAATATTTTTTATCGTTTTAAATATAAAAAAACTTGTTATAATTCAAAATAGAAGTGCGATATGAGAAAAAATATTTAAATAAAATTATCCCCAGGTTTTGCTTTAGGCTTTTCACAATATGTGTTGACTACTGATTATTGATGATTATGAAACATTCTCTGAAAATAGAACATTTAGGAATAAGCAGTGAAATATACTGTCGTATTTCATACCTTCTGTACCAGTCACAGAGAGGAATTGATATCGACTTTCAACTCGAACCAGACATATGTAGAATGTACAGGTGATGGTAAAGTGTCAGCTTGATAAATTCAGAAATTGTTGAATTATTTATTTAATTACCTCTTCTCATGCGGCACCAACAAAGTATTGGACACTTAATAGAATATTATATTTCTAAGCCAGTTTTACTATTATGAAGTTATATTTATAAGAGCTCTGTTCTCATCAAATATGATTTCAGTAGAATATTTATTATTCATTTCGGCGGTGATAATGAACTCAGCGATACTGGCTTTTTGCAGACAGGTAAGTCTTTAGAGAAACTACTTACCTTGTTGATAATAAAATAGAAGAAGTAATAGAAGAAAATAAAAAGAAGTTATAAATACGTTTCTGTCAAATTGGTAATTTAACGAAAGAGCGAAAAATAATGCACTTTCTATTTAATTCACGATATATCATGGATTTAATGAAACTTAAGACTCTAATATTGGTTCATGCAGAACTAATTCATTTAAAGTTATGAAACCGAAAATTGATGCACCTTCTATTTAACTCAAGACAGATCATGGAACTAATGGAACCAAAGACTCCAATATTGATTCATGCGGAACTGGTTTATTCAGTGCGAAAGTTTTGGGCCCGAAAAATAATGCATCTTCTATTAAATTCATGACAGATCATGAAAATAATGAAACTCAAGAAGATTCCAGTATTAATTCATGCGGAACTGGTTCATTCTGTGTGAAAGCTCTGGGGCCAAAAAATAATGCATCTTCTATTTAGTTTATGACAGATCATGGAACTAATGAAGCTCAAGACTCCAGCACCGATTCACGTGGAACTGGTTCATTCAGCGTGAAAGATATGGGACCGAAAAACGGTGCAATTTCTATTTAATTCATGACATATCACGCATTTAATGAAACTCAGGAATCTAATATTGATTCACGAGGAACTGGTTCATTCAGTGTGAAAGATTTGGTAGTCAAAATAGTGCCCCTTCTATTTAATTCAAGACAGATCATGGAACTAATCAAACTCAGGACTCCAGTATTGATTCAAGCGGAACTGGTTCCTTCTGTGTGAAAGATATGGGGTCGAAAAATAATGCACCTTTTTTTTAATTTATGAAAGAGGATGGAACTAATGAAGCTCAAGACTCCAGCACCGATTCATGTGAAACTGGTTCATGCAACATGAAAGATATGGGACCGAAAAACAGTGCACCTTCTATTTAATTCATGACATATCAAGCATTTAATGAAACTGGTATGAATATTATATTCTAATATTAAGGACTCTAATATTGATTCACAAGGAACTGGTTCATTCAGCGTGAAAGATTTGGGAGTGTAAAATAGTGCACCTTCTATTTAATTCATGACAGATCACAGAATTAATGAAACTCAAGACTCCAATGTTGATTCATGCGGAACTAGTTCATCTAATGGCAAAGATATGGGAGAGAAAAGTTGTACGTTCGCTTAGAATAAGTAATAAAAAATACATTAATTTATATAGATATATGATTTTGAAGTTAATTAAGAATTCAAGATATTGACAGATATTACTGGTCATCGCTTGCATTTTCCTGCGGCAAGTAAACTCGCGATTTCGCTTTTCATGGCGTAATTTATAACTGGGTGTGATAAAGAAAGCGAGCGCTCTCCATCCCGTAATTCAGTTGTCTCAAAGTGGCGCTCCGCGGGGCGCATGTTGCCACTGAAGCAGTTTTATGCGTCCCGCGAAGATATTTTAATTACGAATTTCTTGCAAATACAGTGTTCAAAGATTTTAACTATTTGAAGAGCGAACTTATATTAATTTTATTACCATTGAAAAGTAACGTGCATAATGCATCAGAAAATCTGGAGCCAAGCAATTCACAGTGTGATATAAAACTTAGTATTTCAAAGACTTGAAGATACAAATTTTATCAACTAATATTCATACTTTTCAAAAATAAATCATTTACTAATTTTTTGCACTACGAGTGCATTTATTATCTTCATTATGCATTTATTATTTATTATACACTTGTTCGGGAATGCATTTATTATGAATAGCTTTTTCCCCAGTCGAAAAAATTAATTAAAAAAATCTGATGTGGACACCACATGCTTTCCTTGTATGCCCTATTAAATTATACACATTTTTTGCTGCATTTCATTTAAACTTATTTCCTTGAATTTCATTAGATATACATTTCTCGTTCAATTAATTCAGTTTTCCCTTCGCGACAAAGCAAAAATACATAAAAACTTTAAACATCTTCATTAAAATTTGTAAGATAAAAAAAGAATCTAGTACAGTTAAAAAAGTTTAAAAAGTTTTTAGAATTAGTGTTTCTACGCAAAAACAAGCAATTCGGCAGATTCCGCAAGTAGGCAGATTTATCGGTGCACAAAGCTGAAAGTTTACTTTTGCTTCCCACTCCGCAAAAAGACACTGAAGGTGCAGAAACTGTCTTAATTTATTATTCTACTGAGTTTTAAGTGTAGACAAATGGCGGTTCCTTAGGCTTAATTCGTCACTTAAAGTTTTAAATTTTTGATTGTTCTATAACTATTGCATGCAGATTAACTAAAGACAAAAAGCTTATAAGGTATTTCTCCCGCCTTCCCAGTGTGCCTTCGTGGTAAAGATTGTTGGATGATGATTCTCCTCAACCAGGATTTGGCGATTGGGTCCCTTAAAAAGCCCAGTCGCCCTTTAAAAGGGGAGAGTATATAAGATATTTCTCCTGCCTTCCTAGCGTGCCTTGGTGGCGTAGTTGTTCTGCACGCTGGGCCGGTATTCCAGAAGTCCGTGGTTCGAATCCCGGCGAAGGCGATTGCTAATTTTTCACCTTTCCTGCTTCCAAAAAATCCTAATGTCTCTACAAGTTCACCCGGAATATAAAAACTATTCAATCACTTTTAAAGCAAAAAATGCGCAATTAATTAACATATTAAAATGAAAACCTAAGCTCACCGAGCCAGGTAATAGGGTGGGAATATATATATATATATATACGATTGCTACAGCCGATTGCAACGAAAAAGGGAGGGGCACAGTTACATCTTATAGGAGTCCCATATACCAAATTCCAACATTTTACGGTTACTCGTTCTTGAGTTACGCGGGATACATACATACTTCCGTGGGTACATACGTACAGATGTCAAGAAGAAATCTCTTCTGAAACCCTTTTAAATCCATTTTACAATCTCTTTGTCAAAAACAGTTCTTTATTCTGTCCGTATGTACAGATGCCATGCAAAAACATCGTTCAAATGATATTTTCGTTCGAATAGTTCCTTTACTTCGTACATGGAAGAAAAAAAAAAAAAAAAAGGTTGACCAATAAGCATCTAACGTCCGTGATAAAGATAATTTCTATCCTAGGCCACAAACTTTATCAAAATCGAAACGCCATCAAGAATGTCTGTCAGTAGTAAGAAATAAAAAGAGATAATTATTTACATATGAACGTACTTATTTTTATTTATGCATCGAAGAAACATTTAATAATAATAAGATAAAATATTATCATTTTTTATTTCTGAAGTTTTGTACTACTTAAAAATTCCTCTCAATTTTTAAGTTTTCATAATTCTTTCAGTTAAATTAATTATTTAATGATTAATTAATATGTTAGAATTATTTGAAATAAACATCTGTCTGGAAATTTATATTTATTAGCCCAATATATTTCCATTATAAAGTGTAACTAATAAAAATGCCCCAACTTTAAAGTCAGGAAAAATAAATGTAAGTTTGAATTCTTTTCATTGCTAAATTATTATTATTGTTTATCTTCGGTTTGAAAAGTACTTAGCAAGAAAAATTTTAAATTATTTTAAATATTTTTTATATTGTTAATAATTTTTTTTAATCTTGTTTAAAAAAAATTTGGTCCGTCAGCAGTTCTCAGATCGTGCTTGCGGCTGGCGGGTAATTTGAGTCTGAGAGCACTGCTTTAATTTATTTTGTAAAATGTGCAACCTAAGTTGAAAATAAACTACCTTATAAGCAACATACTCAGTTTTCAAAATATGCGAAATCAACGATACGACTGTTGAAAATTGTAATACCTTTGATTGGAGTTGTAAGCACGATTGTAAATTATTTAATTGTTATTAGACAAAATATCTATTGAGAAAATGGCAACAGCTAATTTCTGGATGTCGTTCTATTTATAATTTTAAAAATATACATTGAGATGATGTACGCTTGAAATGTTTAATGGTACGATGCAGTAAGTACGTTTGTTATTGTTAGAACTTTTCATAGTATAGAGGGCGCTGTTGCGCCAAAAGAATTCTGTGTTTTTAACATTATGTAACTGTGGTTCGCCATTGCGATGTATGTGTATTGCTGTGATATATTTTGGTGTTTTCATTAAATATAAATGAAAGATATCGTCATGAATATTTTGTATCCAAAATTATTGGATATCGGAACGCATTAGTATCGTTAATCGCTTCGTAACAGTTATGTTATGTACGTTTACGAGGACGTACGTGTAGTTATTAAGATTATCTTTAAATAAATGTTTGTTTGTCTTTTACAACCATTTTATGAGTGATTATTTAACTACAAAGGAGCTAATATAAATCAGAAGCGGGATTATCTGAATCTAAGCCTAAAGCTACAAGAATTTGCCTATGTAAAATAATTGAAAGATTTTGAATTCAAGGTATGTGCCATTGATTGTGTAACATATTTATTAGAATTTAATTGTTTATTTTTATCATTTGGAAAGAGATTTTATTTTTTTATCAATCCTTAAATTTTTGAAATATATTTAGAACGTCAACAAACTTATGAATACCAATAACTGTGTTCTACTAAGTTGTCTAATTGAATTATATAATAGAATTATATATATATTTGCATTTTAATAACACAAATGTCTATTTTCGGTAAGGCAAAAATGCGATTAGAATATTAGCTGAAGAATTAGGAGAAGATGTAAGTGAGAGTCAATGAGCAATTTGAAAAAGATTTTTTGGCTAACAAAGAGTACGATGAGAATGCGCCAAAGAATGGTTGAACATTATAATAAATTGAAAAAAAGGAAAAGAAGAAATGAAGAACGTAGGCGAAAGAAAAAAGAAAGAAAACTTCAAAGAATAAGCACGTGGGTGAAGAACTCGAAAGAAGAATATGAGTTGAAATACAGTGTCTTGTGGGGTGCTTTACAAAAGGAACTGCATAAATAAATTTAAAAACAGTAAAATTTTTGTGTGTTTTTTTCATTTTTTTTAAATTTAAATAAAAAATTTAAATAAAAAATTTTTTAGTTTTCATTTCAATTTAAAATTTAGTAACTTATTACATAACATACTTTTCCTCAAATATCAAATATTTTTTATTAAAATTGTTTTACGGGCAGAAAATGGCTCACTTAATGATGGGAACTACGTACTATGCAACAAAAATCCGTCCTAAAGTAAGCAATAAAAATTTGGGTTTTATTTTACTCAAAAGCATTGCCAATAATTTATAAAATCGTCTGCAGTTTTCTCTCCAGTTCGTTTTGGAATTTTTGTGTTTTTTTTTAGCTCTGTGCACCCAGAATGCTAACGAAAGAAACTTGCCTGGAATTCGAAAATATTTATTACTTGGTATTGAATGGAAAATCTATTAGAAACTACTGAAACAGTTAACTTCGTCCTTCAAAACATTTTTTCAAGATCATTAAACGATATAAAAAGAATCATATGATTCAGGATAGAACCTGTCCGACCATCAAAGCTATTCATGGAATAAAGCGAACTATCGTTCGAAATTTTAAAAAAAATCCAAGAATGAGTGCTCCTAAAATGCTGAGATTTAAAAAGCATTATAGGAGGAAATTGTTAATTCTGATAATTAGAAGAATAATTCGATCTACTGATATCACGGTAGAGCCCCAGGAAAAAATTCTTCGTAATTGAAAGAATAAAAACTCAGACTGGCTTTCGCAAATCCAACTAAATAAGAATTCTGATTACTGGAATGAAGTTATATTTGCTGATGATAGTAATTTAATATATTTGGTTCTGACGTAGAATCTTGTGTGGAGAAAACCGAGGGAAGAATTTCGCAAACACAACTGGTGCCAACAGTAAAACATGGTGGAGGAGGAGTTATGGATGGGGGTGTATGTCGTCCGCTGGAGTTGATAATCTTGTTTTTATTGACAGTAAATGGATCAGTACAAGTATTGATTTTAAATCAAAATTTGAAATCTTCAGCACGAAAAATTGAACCTTCATACGATTTTAAATTCTACCAGGGACAATGACCCCAAGCACAGTGCTTTGAACTTAACTCTGGCTTGCTGTATAACTGTCCTAAATAAAAAAAAAACCCCCACAATCTCCACAATTAAATCCCATAGAATATTTTGGCAAGAATTGGAATTCGATTCTTCAAACCACACAACACAAACAGATCTTCGGAGGCCATCATTCCAAAATACAGAAGATGATGATAATGACGAGGTGAGGAGAACTTAAAAGGCCCAAGCGAATGTGCGCAAACAATTGGGCTATAGAGACTTTGTGTAAGAACTTATAGAATTTTTTTAAAATTATATTTTTTTTATTTTTTTCCTACCTACTATTATATTTTGTTGTTGTTTTTTTGTTGCTTTAATGTATGACAGATTTGGTTCAATTTAGGACAATTTGAAAAGTCAGATGGTCGAATGAAGGACGATTGTAAATTTTCATTGTTATTAGACAAAATATCTATTGAGAAAATGGCAACAGCTAATTCTGGATGTCGTTCTATTTATAAATTTTAAAAATATACATTGAGATGATGTACGCTTGAAATGTTTAATGGTAGGATGCAGTTAGTACTTTTGTTATGTTATGTACGTTTCCGAGTAGTTACGTGTAGGTATTAAGATTAATCTTTCAATTTTATTTATTTGTTTTTTTACAACCATTTTATGAGTGATTATTTACTACAAAGGAAGTTAACAGAGTAAACTGTTTTTTCTATTTTCTGTTGAAAAGAAAATAATGATTGAGGTATACTGTATGAAGAATAAATTAACATTTACTATAACTGTAAGGAATTTATATTATAGAGAAATTCTCCATAATTTTAATAATAAGAGTCCAAGCGAAACAGTTACGAAAATAAACTGTGTTTTTGTACAGAAGACCACAGTTTATTTTCATATGGTATACTTGGTCGAGATTTCTGGACACTAAACGTCCTCAAAATACTGTATTTTGTGTTCACTAAACGGTTCACCACAAACGCTTGGAAAAAATGCCTGAAATGTTTATAATTAATTTTTAAAATGGCAATTTGTTTTACTGTAAACGTGAAAGAGAAAGATATTATCATGTAATACTAATTATTAAAATTCTGAAACGCATTACTGATAGCAATTTTGGTGTGCGGAGAAAATTCATATCTTCGTTAAAAATAATAATACTACAATCTCAGTTATAATGGAATACGTTACAACGGTAAAAAGAATTGGAAATGCAAGTAAAGGCCTTTTTTCTAAACAAAATTATTTTAAAATACATACGAATAGAAAAAACATTGAAAGGAATAGAGACGTTCTTACGATTATTAAGCTGGACTATAGTAAACAGAAAGATCTTAAAAGATACACGACCTTTTGTCACGCAGAATCAAGAAAAAAAAGGATTCACGAGCATTTTGTTCTATAAAAAGCAATAACATAATCAATATAGGGCTTGCGAATCAGTTGCAAAGAAAAAAAAAAAGCGAAAAACCTGAACCGCTCTCCACCTGGTTCATGCTTGGCAATTTACCATATTGCCGCTTGTGGCCTTCACATGCTAACCATATTGCTATTAATCGTCAGCCAGAATGTAACTCAATTCTTCAACCCCACTGAAAATTGCTGTTTTCTGAGATGTCAAAATTTATGTTCATTACATTTGATGGAATGGCGAAATACAGTGATCCAAAAGAATACGAATTTACTTATGATCACCAAGTTATTTTCTAACAAAGATTTTTATTAAGTTCTACCTCCGATTGTTTTGGATTTTCTTGCCGCATAAAGTGGAAAGGAACTTTTTCTGAAAATCTGTCTTAATAAGGAAGATAATCCATTAGTTTCAGAACAGAAAATAAAGAACTGATGAGATCTTGAAGATCTTGTTGTGAACCTTTCAAGAATGAAACGATCACGACATCGTGGCTCTTTTCATTCGAGAAATTTGCTAAGGCTCCGTGTCGAAACTTGAATCTGATGACTTTCTATAAAATCAAATCCTTTTTCGGGAATGGGGATACAATACTACTTTTAAATCTGACATTAGGATATTCTTTGGTGAGTTCTATATAATAGGTAACACACAAGCTGTTGTATTCACTTCTAACAGACTTATTCTCTGAAACTTTCTCCGAAATGATATCAAACATGATTCTCTCGAGCATTGATTCAACAGATTTTATTTAACAAATCTTTCCAAACCTTTCAATATAGGAAATAAAGTCCTGCTTTTTTTCAATCAGATTATTTATTTTATCAACTTTCTGAAATTTGTTGAAGAATTGTTTTAACTGTTGTTCTTCCTGAGGAATTTCCGAAGATCATTTTCACTGTCTTTGTTTATATTATTTTGTATCATTTTCTTGTGAAATTTGGAATAAGATACATTTACTTTTAAAATTTCGCCTAATTTATCGATGACAGCATTGCAGGAATTTTTATATTGTAGTATTTGTTTCCGGTGTTCTTCAGGAGGAGTGTAGACATTTACATAAGGAATAAATCTGTATTGTTCTAGAATGGGGTCAATTATATTCAGACGGCGTGTGGCCATATCAGCAGAGAGTTCTGTAATTTCGATTCCAGCACAGCGGCATCTCCTCATATTTGCATCGTATGTAACAGAAACACCTGGAAGTAACAGAAATGTTATGATAATAGACGCATAAAATAATAGACAAATATCTCTAAATAACTGTAATAATAATGTAATTATATTATACGAAGAATTTCTGAATGGTACGCTGAAAACGTAACACTTGCAGTGTATAACTCCATTTTACAAAAATTAATTAAATTAATATTAAAAAATTTGAAAGCTTTGAGATTTTATATTACGCCTAAAGGGGCGTTTTTTTAACGTTTTGTGTGTTACCTTTATTTATTAAATATCATGTTCTTCGCCCTTAAACCATAAATTTCAATTCGACAGCAATATCACAAAATAGTTTTAAAATGAGCATATCTTTAGAATTTCCGATACACAGTATCACTCGTCGGAGATAAAAATATTCCCCTCCCCCAGCCTACAATGTGGCCAGTGCTTGCATTGAAATCGTGGTTTTTCTTAATCACAAACTCATAAATGCTTTTTGAAATAGATAATAACACACAAAAAAGGTGAAAGCTTTAAGTTTTTACATTACGCCCAAAGGGGCGTTTTTTAAGGTTTTGTGTGTTACTTTTTATTTCTTTATTATCATGTTCTTCGCACTTAAACCACAAAATTCAATTCAACAGCAGTATCGCAAAATAATCTTAAAATAAGCATATCTTTAGAATTTCTGATACACAGTCTCGTGCGCTGGAAATAATTTTTTTTTTCGTACAGTGTTGCCATTGCTCGCTTTGAAATCGTTGCATTTGTTAATCAAAAGTTCGCTTGATGTTTTCATAAACTTTACAAAATACGAAATATATAATAAAACTGATTCCAAATTCGGGTGCAAACGTATGTTATCAAAATTGGATGGTTGTAGGTACCGTTGTTCTATCACAATGCGAGAAACATACGCACATTTATGCAGATTCTTCATTAATTAATTTCTTTAAAATATAATACAGGGCGATAATAGTTGGTGTCAGCAATCTGAAGATATGCCTTTTATAGTGATTCGACGCAAAATGCCAAAACGAAATTAATAGCCCTTCTGGGCTAACGCCCTTTGAGCTAATAAACATTTTATTGCCTTTTTTTCCTTCGATTGATTTCAGTAGAAGGAATATTTTACCATTATTTGACGGCAAGGAAACAAACAACAACAACAACAAACAAACAAAAAAAGAGCATGCGCTCTTTAATTTACTTTTAATGAACAGGTACCTCTTGAAATTTATTAAGCATGTTCATTTACATAGACACAGAATAGATAAACAAAATTCAAAATTTTACAGTTAATGATGTGTTTGATTTTTTTATGTAAATAGATGAATCCACTGCATTTATTATTTCTGCGGAACATGGATAGAGAGACAATTGATGTTTTTCAATTTTTGGCGAAGCGTACAAATACAATAGATCTGGAACCAAATTCAAAACATAAGAGCATAAACTACAAAGCGCATAATTAAAAAGGATACAGAAAATTTTGAGATCACGCCTATTATTTATATGTGTAGAATAAAATAAATACATATTTCCCAATAAAACAACAGATTCAGATAGCAGCTAGGATCCACTTTCTTAATGACTAATATTTGTAGCAGTTTTAGAAAAATATTTCTTTAAACAATGATTGTAAATAAATTTAGTTTAATCTTTATAAATTTAGTACTTATTTTGCCAGTGAATCTCGAGAGGTGCTGAAACTTGAATTATGTTTATCGCTTTGCTTCCTGTCGTTTCTCAAATATATATACATATTTTTTCAAGTTTCAGTGTTCTTGTCGCAACATAGCTGATACTTAAGCTCTAAAATTGATCAGACGACTAGATCCTAGGAGGACTAGATCTTAGGAAAATAATAGTGGAACACTTCAGACTCGTATCTTACTAATCGTTCTTTCTCAGTACGAGTTAGTTCTATCATTTCGGCTCCCCTTCCAATCCTAAGTGGCGTAGCTCAAGGTAGTCTACTTGAACCGACTATATTCAACATTTTTATCAACGAAATTTTAAAACCACCCAGTTTTACTCCAGCAAATTCTATGCAGATGACACGTCCCTCCTAACAAAACACAAACATTTGAATGTTTTGGTTCACAATATTAATATCCATATCCTTGAGCACTGGCTCATTACTGGAAAATCAAAATTAACTTCGCTAAATGTGCTGCCATGATATTCACACGCTCCCGAATCCCGTACCTACCATTAATATAAAGTTCTTCGATGGCTATGTCCTCTGGTCAAATTCATATAAGTATCTAGGACTGATACTTGATTCCAAATTAATCCGGCGTCTTCATATTGATTATACACTCAATAAAGCGAAGACCGTCAGAACCCAACTTTACTTCCTTCTGGGCCAAAAGAACTCTCTGCCAATCAAAAACAAAGCTCTTCTCTATACTTCCATCATTCGACCACTATTTTTGTATGCTTGCACTATCTGGGGTACAGCTGCAAACACACACATAAAAAAACTTCAAGACTTCCAAAGTAAGACCCTGCGTTTAGTCCTTAATGCAGCCTATTATGTCCGTACTGATGTGATTCATTCGGATCTGAACATTAAACCCATAGACGTCGGTATTACAAAACTTAGTCAAAATTTATTAATCAAAATTGAACATACTGATAACCGTGCACTTCAACAGTTACCGGCCTACGATCCTGCTATTTGCAGCCCGCAGAAAATACCTCGCTTCGTCATGTGTCTCGAATACAACATCTCTGTTCACTATTTAATCACATCATGCCCTGGATATTTCGTCGCGAAAATTTAATGTTTACTTCGCTATGATTAGTGCCATATGCCAAGAGCCTATTAATCTGTAAAATCTTTCCTTTCCGCTTTTTGCTTTAGTGTCGTATTTATGTGTTATAAAATAAAAAAAAATATAATATTATATATATAAAATTTAAAAACACACACCACAAAAAAATCATAATAAAATCATAAAACTTCCAAAAAAATCAAAACTTGATTTTTCCTATCCCTAAACTTTCTCGAGCTAATGTAACTCCCTCTAGTGTGCATCATGATAACCAATTATGCTATTTTCCTATTTCCGCTCACTACTTAGATATTTTTTTGGTGTGGAGGTACATGGTATCGAACCATAGGCACTCCGTAACTTATAATCATTGGCATTGGCTCAATGTTTACAAATCAGGAGACGCTATCAACTCACGAGATACAGCAAATCAAGACTCCAGACCAATGAGTTGAAACTTCAACACCCACATAGCAATAGTCCTTACCTCACCCTCAGCGCTGCTTCAACCACGGCAGCAGTCAGTCTGAAATGCTATAGCCAGGCGTCGAACGACACTACTTCAGGATCACGTCAGGCCGGATCACGTCATGCAAGTTCGCATGATAATTCCCGCATATCAGCAGAACTAGGAACTAGGATTCAGTGTTTGTTCTTCGACTATCTACAAAGAGAATTTCTGCTACTAGTGAGAGGTCTTTTTCAAACATCGATGCAGAAACAGAATGCTTGACCTCGAGGCTTTCGCCACCACGACCATTATTTCGCCTTCGGGCGCGGTGCACATGCACCCTTGAATTAATTTAAAGTTTACGAGCGGCCAATGGCCTACTTGATTTATTAGTTAAAACTCTTTAGAAGTTGGGATTATTATTGAAATTGAAGATTTAAGATGAAAGATTTAATGTTTATAGGTTACATAAAATGAGAGAGATTGCAGTTTCATCTTCATGAGTGAAGGTTACTCAGTTTTGAAGCTCCACTTGGTTTAATCCCCGTATTTTATTCGTGACGCTTTTGTCGTGTATTTCGCACTTTTTTATTCATTATGACTACCACTACTTTAGAAATTGATGTTGAGTTCGCTGGAAAAAAAAAAAAAAAACTTATCCGATGGGCGATTGATAACAATGAACAGCCTGCTCAACTGATGAACTTGGTGATCTTCAAAGTGCATTAAGGCTGGCAAGCCAGTTGGAGAGAAACGTCAGCTCGCTTTCGCTAAATTAAAAAAGATGCTTTAAAAAATGAAGCTCTGAACATTTTCATCTCATTGATTCCGAAGCTAAGAAGATGGAAAACTCTAATTCTGATGTTTATCAGAATTTGGAACGTAAAATTACTGATGACTCTTCTTCACGTAAAGAAAGAAACACAAGAAGCCTCTTAAGCCTGCAAGCGTAGCTACTACAATTAATAAAGAATCTAATGAAGAAAAAGGTTGGATTACACCTTCGAAATATGCAAAACAGACTACAACTCATACGTGTTCTGAACCTGCAACGAAGACAACCTCTTTACTGAGAAGAAATTCTACTTCTTCGCCGAATAAATTCGAAGCTTTGAATTCTGTTTCCGATTCAGATGATAAAATGGATTGCATGGAAGTTCCATCAACCAAAGCTGAGTGCATCTTGGAATCTCTTAAGGATTCTGTTGCTGACTGTAAAAAGATAAGACTACCACCGATTATATGTCCAAGACCGGAGATTACTTGGAAAGAAATAAGAACTTTGCTTTTGAGTAACGGTGTCCAAAGTTTTACTGGTACTCTCACCAGAGAAAATAAATCATCATTACCTTTGATTCTGCTCTTAATCGTGATGGAATTTTAGGTGTATTTATGAAAAAGAAAGTTCAATTTAGTACTTCTAGAACAAAACCCGATACTCCGATCAAAGTTGTGATCAGAGGATTAACCGAAGATTCTGGCATTGATGAAATCAAAACTGAACATTGTGAAGCTGGCTATCTTGTTTTGAAGGTTACCCAATTCACTAAGAAAACCAATGATGTCGTGACGAAGCTACCTATTTTCTTCGCCTCCTTAAAAAGAGATGACACTGAACGTAGAATTTACAACAAGCGTACACTCTTAAATCTTAGAATGAGTATCCGAAAATACCATAGCAATCGTAGCTACATGATGTGTTTTAGATGTCAACGTTTTAGCCATGGACAAATGTTTTGTAATAATAAAACAAGATGTTTAATCTGTGGCAAAGGCCATCTCATGTATACATGTACTCTTC